GGGGCGGGAGCAAAATTTAATCCCGACGTGAAAACCCTCTGAAAATGGAAGTCCATCCTGATATTATGATATAAGTATTTTTCTTTCTTTTTCATATTAAATAGGAGTCAGTGGCGGATCTGAGAGTTCTGGCAAGGGGAGGGAGCTAGGCACAAGTCCATAAATAATTTTACAAACAAGGCCAGGCTTTGGGCTAAGAAATTCTTCCATCTCTTCAACATTAACCTTTCTCTTATATCTTATGTCTCCATTTTTTGGTTATAAGGACTAGCTTTCCGTTTGTTTTCCCTCCAAACAACTTTCTTTGTCTTCGTTATCAAAATCTCTTTTTTTTTTTACTGGCTTTACTAGCTTGCACTTAACTACATTTAGGCCTACTACATTTTAAGTTATTAATTTTATACATGTCTGTAAGGGACCCCACTGGAAAAAAGCTCTCGAGCTTTCGTGGGTTATCCTGTTCAAGCTGACTTTTTTTTTTATCTGTTATTATTGTATATTGTTGTATGTTGGAAGCTTGTCGAATAAAAATCAATCAATCAATCTACTCTCTCTTTTTTCCCGTCCATCTTTTACTCACTCTCATTCTGTATTACTACTTCTTTTACTTTAATTCTTTCACTCAATTAATTTCATTCTATTACTCTCTCTCTCCGTCTTTCTCTCGCGACTCATTCTCATTCTGTTATACTCAGTCTTCACTCTATTATTTTACACTCACACACAAACACACACAAACACACACAAACACCCTCATAACACCCCCTCTCTCTTTTTCTCATTCTAGTGTGCTCTGTCTTCCACTTTTGAGTCAGGCCACGAGAAAGACACGTAGTTTAAATAAAGCCGTCACTTTTTACCTTTAATCGAATCTATAATAGTGACACAAAAGATTTATGAAATATGGCATGTAAACTTCTTCAATATTATCATCATAATCACCAGCGCTTAGAGACTTCGGTGGTAAGCGCTTTATAAGTAACGTTTTTATTATTATTATCATCATCACAGTGATTCTACTTGTCATCATAATTAGCATCATCATCATTACCATCACCATCATCATCATCATCATCATATCATTGATAACATTTATTTAACTTAGATCAGAACACCAAAGCCAATATAATGACTCGGTTTCAGACATCATTTTAGTATCACAGATAGCTCTTTATGACATACATATATTTACATAACCACAAAGATATATACACAGATATTATCAATATCAACAAATATATAATCATATGTAAAATTCAAGGTGAAAATATTGAATGGGCTTAAAGGTAACGCAAAGTTTTGGGAAATTTTGAAAATTGGATGGATAGTAATTCTTTTAAGTTCTGATATACTTGGATGCACCTGTGGATGTATTATTAGCACTAGAAAATTTCTGCTTTCGAGAAATTGAATTATTCAAAATTTACTGGTGCTCCCGGTAAATTTCAAGGCCATTCCATGGTAGCTGCGACCATGAAAATCACGGAATATGCAGTTCTGATATATAATTTCCAAACGGGAATAGCAAATTGGTCAATTGTAGTCAAGAAACATTGTTTTTAAAGCTTAAGATAATAGCAGTCTTGAGAGGCAGCTATACGACAAAAAAAAGTTTTTTTCTTCAATTTCATCACTTTAGACTCGATTTCGACCGTGACAAGGATCATTGAACACTGTAAAATCGCATATGCTTCCAATATGTTCATTTGAAACTATGACCCCATACCAACATTTTGTATTACCTTTAAGCATTAACAATTTCTTTTAAAGAAAGAATCTGATATTTTTCAATTGAAAAGTTTATGCAAGTTGTAAAGACGTCAACGCACATCTAATTGATGTAACTACACATTGTATTCAACTACAACAACCTTGATATGCGGCTATCACACCATTACAAGTACATCAAACCATGTTAACAAGTTCATACTACATTATTCTCTAATCTTTTGACATAAAAGTGTTCAAAAGTACAGAATCGGTTTCTTTTGGCAATTCAGGCATTATCTCATTTATGACAACATTAAACAGAAAAACATCATAATGCAATCATTTTAAAAAGAATTCATGAACATTTTAAATGGCCTCATCATAAAGTCATAAACAAAACATTCATATCGTTGCAACTTGCAAGTCATTAGGTGGCCAATAAGCAACTTTTTTAATTCAGGATATGTAATTGATTTCTGAAGTCTTTCAATAAATTTTAATATTACAGGTTCTAATCAATTCGTTATTGCTCATTATTTGGATGAAACATGGCCTCCTTCTATTCAACATGTATTTCACTAATTTTCATTACACTTTATCTAGACAAACTACACGTTTGTTTACTAGTGGGATCATGAAGTATGATGTGGCTTATAGACCGATATATAGCGCTTAATACGATATACCGTCTTTATGCCCTTTACAGATATTTTTACCTTAGTCATCAAATTCATTCATGCACAATGTGCACCATCTCCACTCCCTGGGGAGTATTCCTACCATGTCGAGACCATGAGGGCATATGGCAATCACTAACACAAAGGCTTTCGTCATCCTACCAGGTCCCCATTTCTCTCCTGGGTATGGATTGGCAAATGTAGATTAATGCCTTGCCAAAAGACATTAGTTCCGTGTCGGGGATCGAACCCACGACCTTTAAATTTCAAGCCAAGCACTTAAACCACTCGACAACGACACCTCAACTTATAAATGAGATTAAATACGAACAAGCTTCAGAGGCAAGATATTCATTTCAGTAGGTCACTTTATCACTTCATCAGGTACTTTAGTCAAATACATGCATACAGCCTCAAGAATTAGAACTATATATTTTTGAGGGACAGAATTAATGCTCTCAGAAGCATTTTTATGTATATTACCTTTACAAGATTTGGGCCCCGTCTTATAAAGAGTTGCAAGTGATCCTAAGCAATCTCAAGTTTGCAGTCCCCTATCTCTTATGTACATAGTTTTGATCGGTATAACTCGCAAATAAGTTGCGATTAATATCAACTCTTTTTTAAGACAAGGCTTTGCCAAATGATAATGAATAAAGATACCAGTATAAGCAGCCTTTTAGTACTGAGTGTATTGAGGGTATCTGAGTTTTCTTCTCTTCAAGAGCAGCAGCCAGCTATAAGTGATACCAATAATTCGAGGGTTCAGTGAAACAAAGACGTAACTCCATATTTTATCGAAATGAGTACCGTATTTGCCGGCGTAAAGGCCGCACCCCCGCATAGGCCGCACCCCCGATTTTGACATTTAAAAAAAAAAGAAAAAAAAAAAAAAAGAAAAAAAAAAAAAAAAAAAATCGTTTTGTTTTTTTGTTTTTTGTTGTTGTTGTTGTTGTTGTTTTGCTGCCGAAAACCCACGCGTGGAAGGACCTTCATTTAACATCGAGGTGCAGTTAAAGGCGCTGATTTGTGCTTGTAAACTTGTCACAAATAATAGTAACAATGTCGTTTTTAGAAGAATGTGTAAGATCATTAATGTGAATTAAAAACAATAAAGTACCTATGGTACCAGTGGTGTACCTTGTGGTACACCATTTGTTATAGAAAAAAATTTGAGGAACTATTATTATAAACTACATATTGAGATCTATTAGAAAGATTACTTTCAAACCAAGATGACAGTCAAATTTTATTGTTGTTGTAGTTTCCGAGTGGTGAGTCAACACACTGATTACTGAGATGGGAGACATTGCCAGGCATAGCGCCATAAATCGAAACTAAAAAAAAAAAAAAAAAAAAAAAAAAAAAAAAAAAAAAAAAAAAAAAATTACTCTTTCGCCGCATAGGCCGCACCCCGACTTTTTGATATTTTCTCTTCCAAAAATACTGCGGCCTATACGCCGGCAAATACGGTAGGGGTACTTGGTATCAAAATGTTCAGAAAAATGTGGGCTTTTCAGGAAACACAAAGACTTAACTACATCCAACACTCCATTGAAGTCAATGGCTAGTGAAACATAGACTTAACTCCTTAAGGCCCAAGTGCTCAGTGACACATAAAACACTTTTTCTCAAAATGGCCAAAATGGAGTTACATCTTTGTGTCACTGACCCCTCAATTTGCTCTCACAGAAGTACTGTTATGTCGCTCAGAGATGAATTACACTGTACTTGCTTTAACCCTTTATCTTCCCCAGGTACTGACTGGCACAATCACTGGTGTGTCACTAGTGCTGATTGACACACACACACACACACACACACAATAGACAGTCAATAAGTGTAGGAATAGCCTGTGCAACACTACTTGTTATCACACGTTCCCGCTGCAATTGGCTACATGATATGCCTGTTTTTTTATGGTTTGTTTAACCTGACTGCAAAGAAAGCATGGGTATGCTTGTAAGTAAGCAACCAGGGGGGCTGACGGCCTAATGCCTTACCAAAGGGCACTAGCGCATTGACCGGGTTTCGAGACCACTGCTCTACCACTGAGCCATCGCGTCTCCTCCTAATCTGTACATTGGATATGTACTCTTAATTTTCAAATAATCTAGAAGCTTTATCCTTTGAGAAATACATTACTGAGAGAAGAAGTATTTTTTAAGAGGTAATTTGAAAGAGGCAAGACAGGTTGATTCTCCAATGGAAAGTGGAATATTGTTCCATGTTTTTAAGCAGCCACTGTGAAACAATCAGTAGATGACGGTCTGGATTTGGGGATAATTAGTATATATTCTTTATCCCTTATCATCATCTTTCCATTAGTAAGTACAGTCAAACCTGCTTTAGTGACCACCTGTCTACAAAGGCCACATTTTTTGTTTCCCTTGAAAAATAGTTTCTCATTGAAACATGTACATAAGGAACCTGTCTACAAAGACCACCTGTCTACAAGGACCACATTTTTTGTTTCCGTTGAAAACGATTTCTCATTGAAACATGTACTAAAGGAACCTGTCTACAAAGATCACCTGTCTACAAGGACCACAATTTTTGTTTCCCTTGAAAATGGTCTCTCATTGAAACATGTACTAAAGGAACCTGTCTACAAAGACCACCTGTCTACAAAGGCCACTTTTTGTGTTTCCCTTGGGCGGTCGCTATAGACAGGTTTGACTGTACTAGCTAAGGGGGTATATTGACTTGTATACCAAACTGTTGGCCTAGGTTTCTCAGTTCATCTTCATATTGCACATTCCTCTGTACGACCTCTCTGTAGTTGAATTTCAGATCTTCAATCTCCTCGAAGAAAGACGGGTCAAACTGCTCCAGCTCTTTCCGCAACTACAAGAAAAGAAAGAAAGAAAAAAAAGAAACATATACAAAGATCTTCAACCTCTAATCTCTAACTGAATGTTTCAAACCAGAAAGCCGAGCAACTCATTCTGTTCAAGGATTAATAGCAAGCTAGGGATTGGGGTAATGCAAAATTATAACATAAAGTCTCTCTGCACTTTGAAATTATCATCCTAGCTTTACTCTAGTCGCTATGTTACACTATATCTCACATCTCCCTTCCTCGTGAAAATATATTTATGTACATGTATGTTTGTATTTCTATAAATTGCATTCCCATTCCACCTCTCCCCCCTATCTCCTGATCTCTTTCTTTTGAGCTCTTTCTTGCATTCCATTTATTTTCTTCATTGTTTACATGGAGTATGTTCCTACTGTACGTACATGTCTCTCACTTTCTCTCTCTACAGTATGTCTCTCGCTCTTCTTTAAAGGCCCACTGCACTACTTGTAGCTACTTGCGCCCTCTATATAACAAACCATGCCTAATCGGTGACCATTGGTTCCCCATGATCCTCTTTTTCTTATGTTAACTGAGAGCTGAGTTGATGAGATAACCACCTGTCCAGTGACCTTGCAGGGCAGTCTAATCCCTCCTGTAAACTATGGCAGATACGCTTTAAAACTCATCCTCTCTCTGTCTCACTTCCCCTTTCCCTCTACCTTTAATCAATAACATCTCTCTGTTAGTTTCTTTCTCTTACTTCAACTGTATCAATTTCTCTCTTCAGGCTCATCTGGCTCTAGAAATCTGTTATCCCTTTTTGCTCTTTTCCCCCTATAGATCTCTCCCTCTATGTCTAGCCACTTCACCTTATTTTTTAAAAGCCTGTCTGCACTAGTTCGGCCAGGAGGGATTAGACCTTCCTGCAAGGTCACTGACAGGTTATCTCATCAACTAAGCTCTCAATTAACATAAGAAAAAGGGGACCTTGGGGGACCAACAGGCACCGATTAGGCATTGTTTGCTATATAGAGGGTGCAAATAGCTACAGGTAGTGCAGTGGGGCTTTAACTATAGGTTGTTCTCATTGGATTCAGGCTACCCGCACACAATGTATGCACATTGTCCACTCCCTGGGGAGCATTGGTCTCACCTTATCGTTCTCCTTGCGGAGCCTCTCCTTGTCCAGCTCCATGGTCTGTAGCTCCATACGGATCCTCACGTTCTCCTCCATCACAGTGTTATAGTTATGAAGCCTCTCAACCAACTCATCATCCTGATACCAGACATTAAAGGTAATACAAAGTTTTGGTATGGGGGTCATGAATTTGGTTCAAATGGAAGATATTGGAAGCATTTGCAATTCCTACAATATTCAATGATCGTTGTCGCGGGTTGAAATCTAGTCTAAACTGATTAAATTGTAAATAATAAACTCTTTAAGTTTTATAGCTCCCTCTCAAGACTGATATTACTTTAGCTTTAAAGCTATGTTTCTTGACTACAATCAACTGATTTGCTATTCCCGTTTGGAAATTATATATCAGAACTGCATATTCTGGGATTTTCTTGTTCGCAGCTATCATGGAATGGCCTTAGGCGCTATTTGGAATATTTGAAATTTACCAGGAGCAGGTTGATTATTCAATTTGCTCGAAAGCAGAAGCGTTTTAGGGGTTAAATTTTCTAGTGCTTATAATACATCCACAGGGGCATCCAAATATATCAACACTTTAAAGAATTACTATCCATCTAATTTTCAAAATTTCCCAAAACTTTGCATTACCTTTAACAAAATAATATAAAAATGAAACTATCCATCCAAAATTTTCTCAGCGCTTCATTTTGAGGCTTTGATTGTGATTGGAGCCTAGGTTGAAGGCATTGTATAACAATGTTCCAGTTTGACAAATCTGAGATGCATGGCCCTACACGTTATCAACGTCTGTGATATGGTGTAATATTGAAGCCCTAAAAAAATTGCGCTTCAAAATGATCATGAAGTGCCTCAAAAAAGTAAAATTTGTTGAGTGACAGGTATTACCATACTAATTTTCCCCAATAGACTGTATGGATGTTGCTCTCTGTAACTTCGTTGATTGAAATGATATATTCAAACTTTAAGACAAAGAAATGAAGGTAAATATTTAACTATCATAAAAATTAATAATGATATAACGTCCCTATGCGCTTCCAAGGAGCTTGGGAAATTATTACCCTAGCTTTAGCAGCTATTTTCAGTGCACAGTGCATTTCAAGGAATAATCCTACCAGGTACCCATTTACCTCACCAGGGATGAGTGTGGAAAATGTAGATTAACGTCTTGGCAAAGGACGTTAGTGTTGTGGCAGGGATTTGAACCCTGTACCTTGTGGTTAAAAGTGCGGAGACCTATCCACTGAACCACAACACCTCTAAAACTATAAAAGATTCTAAGGATCTATCAGACATCTTTCTTACCTGCATGGTTGTTGATTCGCCATACGGTGCTCCCTTTAATCGGAATAGTTTCAGTTCATTGAGAAGCTCCGCCTTCTCGTTCTCAAGCCTGTGATTAGTCAATCTAAAATGGAATGAAAATATGGTACATCTTTAAAAAAAAAGATGATCTTTGCACTGCAAGTTGAACATTTTTGATATGGATAAACATATTTCTAAATTAAAGGTACAGTAAATTTCTTGATAAAAACATTCTACAGCGTGGACAAGTCTTATATAACAATAATTTTCTCTAACTCACTTAACCCTGTTTTTCAAGAACAATTTTACTGAACAATTTTGATTAGTTTCGCTCTTTTTAAGAAAAGTTTTAAATAGCAGATGCGTATCAATAGAATTTCCACATTAAATGGAATAGAATGGAATGATAAAGCAATATACTTTGCTAATATTACAAATATTAGGACCTATAATTTATTTACAAGTACATGTAGGTATTTTGGGATTAACAGCGTTTCATTTTTTTTGAGAATATTTTTCTCTTCAAGTATGTTTTAACCTTAGTTTTCTATTGAATTTGTGATCAAATCAACATTTTAGGGCAGTTGTATGGTGTGCAGTATGTTTAAAAGATAGAAATAAAACGTAAAAAACATAATGGTTGGCAGCTCTGCACATGTAATGAGAAAGTATGATACATAAAATGAAAATATTTAGAGAGTGGGAGAGAGATGAATCGGTTTACTGAGAAAGTATCCTCATAATGTACATGTAGGCAATGTCTATGAGTATTCACTTTGTAAATATACGATACCTTGTCTGTTGGAGCTGTTGAAACGTGTCTCCTTCTATCCCACTTTCACCAACTGGGAATCTCTCTAAGATGTTTAACTTTTAACTATTATTATTTTCAGGACTCCTCAACCCTCCCTCTCTCTCACACATGGTGCACCCACGAGCCTACTGTATTATTATCATACGATACCTTGTCTGTTGGAGCTGTTGAAACGTGTCTCCTTCTATCCCACTTTCACCCACTGGGAATCTCTCTAAGATGTTTAACTTTTCTTTGAGCTCTCCTATATTTTTGATCATCATCTGCTCCCTCTGGGCAGAGTCCTTCAGGAGCTGCTTCATGTCTCCAATCACACCATTCTGGAGAAACAAAACAAAAAATAAATTCTCGGTAAACAAGAGGAAGTTATGGTTTTCAGTTTTAAGAAGCTACAACAACAATTCTTCTACCTGTATTGTGCCAAGCCCCAAATCCCCCCATGCCAGGTTGTTTTGGAGATAATCTGATTAACGCGATGGATTTATGAATAGCGAGTGCAAAACACACAGCACAGTTCAATAAGCATGAACAATAACTGCTATTACGAATGCGCCCTTGCATGCACATGGCACTCAAGCGATGGCTCTCTCGCATGTACAAAGCACTATAATGATAGCGTGCATGCATCCTTATGGCAGGCTATGGGTTAAATGATGTGTAAAGCAATTTGATCACCAGTAAAATGGCATGTATGCTTTCATCACAATAAAACCATCACTGTTATCAAGAAAGAAACCACCATATTACCCTTTGCCACCTAAACCACGAAAACATCTGCCACTACCACCATCATCCTCATCATCACTATCATCATCATCAGCGTCTCCACCACTATCATCATCAGTATGATCATAACTATCTTTGTTATCACTGTCACCATTATCATCACCACCGTAATCATTGTCATCATCATCACCATCATCTTCATCACTATCATCATCATCATCATCATCATCAACATCATCATAATCATCTCCACCACTATTTTCATCAGTATGATCATAACTATCTTTGTTATCACTGTCACCATCATCATCACCACCATCATCATCACCACCATAATCATTGTCATCATCATCACCATCATCTTCATCACCATCATCGTCATCACCATCATCATCATCATCATAATCATTGTCATCATCATCACCATCATCTTCATCTTCATCACCATCATCTTCATCACCATCATCATCATCATCATCATCACCATCATCACCATCATCATCATCATCATCATCATCTTCATCACCATCACCATAATCATTATCATCATCATCACTATCATCATCACCATCATCATCTCTATCACCAGCATCAGCATCACCACCTCTTTCCTCACCCTCACCTTTTTCTGCATGTCTTTCTCCATACCCCTCATCTTATCTTCATACATCCTGGTGACAGTGATAGACTTCCAACTCTTACTGTCCGTTCCTTCCAGCTTGGGTCCTCTGGCCTGCTCTATGGCTAGCTTCTCTTGAATCTGCATGAACACGGGAAAGCAACATATCGTCGGAGGGGTGACAAAACCTCGTATCTCAAAAATCATAAATTTTCAGGAGAGCGAAAAAACTTTCCTGTCTCAACAAATTTAGTGCTGTGACATCGTCCTTTCTTTTTAAAACTGGAATATTTATACAATTTTTAATGTCATTGTTGAAATACAGTAGAATAATTGTTTTTATATTTGAAAGTGAGTTACGAGGTTTTTGCGTTTATCTACATTGAGATACAAGCTTTTAGATTTTATTCAAATTGAGATACAAGTTCTTACTTTCAACTCTGAATGAGTTACAAGGATTTGGTTAATAAGTTACGAGGATTTGAATACACTAACTTCGGTAATGTTAGGCCGTGGGTGAGTTACAAGGAAAAGGAATTACGTATCTCATGTTACGAGGTTTTGTCAGTGCAGCTTCAAAGGGGGTTAAAATTACGAGGTTTAGTTTAAGGGTGTTTGTGCGAAATTTGTGATAAAAGCGAGGAGGCATTCCATGGATTTATCAGGTGGTGTCGTAGGCCATTAGATACAAAATTATGAAAAAAATAAAAATCTCAAAAAATTGAGATACGAGGTTTTGTCACCCCACCGACGATATACATTTAAAGTTGCACTGGCTTCCTGTAAGACATCGTAAAGTTTTTAAATTGCTATTTTTAGTTTATAAATCCCTTAATAAAACAGGCACCTCAATACCAACGTGATTGTTTGACCCTATACACCCCTCGCAGGAATCTACAAGCCTCCAGTGACCCACTCCATCTTACAAACAACATAACACGGAAACTAGCTGGAGATAGGACTTTCACTATAACTGCATTTAAATATTGGAAAAGGCTACCTTTAACACTCAGACAATCACCATCTGTCTCTTCATTCAAAAAGGAACTTAAGACATATCTTTTTTGTAATCCAGATTTTTAGGATTACATGTATGTAACTTTTCATTTTCATTTTTTTTGTAGGATTCTTGTTGTTGTAAGCGCTTTGGGACACTCTGGGAAAAGCACAGTATATAAATAATAATAATAATAATACAAATAATAATAATAAAGTGACTCAGTAACATTGTCTTGGATTCTGAAACAAAATCCTGGATTTAGCTCATGATGCAATCATAATTATTTAACCTGTAGGTCAGTCAGGAACCCCATGACTTTGCCAATCGCCTGTCTGATTATCAAGATATTTATGATTGTAAATCAAAATGTCAAAAAATGTTTTCCTAACCCTTTTTTATAACACTACAGTCGAAAGGGACAAACGAGTATGGTAAAACCGGTTACTCAAAGATTTTTACTTTTTTGAGGCACTTCATGACATTTTTGAAGCGCAATTTTTTTAAGGCTTCAATATTACACCATATCACAGACACTCATAACACATAGGGCCATGCATCTCAGATTTAACATTGTTAAACGATGCCTTTAAAAATTAAATCATTCATACCCTTACTAAGTATTTTAAATTTTCTAAGCATGTGAAAAAAATTGATCTGTCTCGATTTATGTTTCTTGAGAATGTGACACATTAAAGCTTACACCTAAAAGTATTCAACAAAGGCCCTAATTCAACCAGTTCCCCCTTCATTCTTGAGTTACGAAAAACACAAAACACATCAATTTTACTAGGGGTATGAATTATTCATTTACTGTAAATCACTAGTGACTTCAGAGCAAGTGTGCGCTTGTAAAATGGCGACTGGCTGGAATGCTCCCCAGGGAGTGGAAAATGTGCACACATTGTGTGCGGGTAAGCCTGAATCTGATAACAGGGGTAATAATATATCTGTAAAGCGCTTAGGCACATCGTTGGATCGATGTATTGAGCGCTATATAAAAAAATGGAATATTATATTATACTGTATATATATATATATATATATATATTATAATAACATTGGAAATTTAATTGCCTGCTTAGCACGTATTGATGCAATAGAATGTACCTACAGACAAAAAAAATACCTCCGACTACTTCGTTGCGGAGGCATAAAAATGTTCCACTTCTTAAATTGAACATTTCTTCATTTATAACGGTTATCAACTGAAATACACAGGGTTTGAATAACTTGATAGTTTGTGATAATCTCTGGCTTTCTTGTGTTTCTTCACTTATGCATATTCCCTTTTTCTTCGATCTCCTCAAACATTCATGTGCTCGGTGCCATTTTTTAAAACCATTTTCTTCATTAGTCCATATCATTTCCTACAGAAGTTTCTATTAATAATATTCGCTACTACTTGGACCAAACTAGTAATAATATAAACATGTACAGAACATATTTAGAAGAAAATAACTTCTATAAGGTATGAATAAATGAAAACACACCTCGTCCAGTTGTCTTTGCAACCTGTTCTTATCCGTGGTGATCTCCGCAAGATTGACCCTTAACCTTTGACCCGAGTCGACCTCCCTTTGAAGCTGCTGCCTCAGTCTCTCGTTCTCTGCCATGGCCTTAACAACACCCTTCTGGGTGCTCTCGTATCGGGTCGAGAGCTGACCTCCGATCTGGTGTTTCATCTTCGTTAGCTCCTCCTATAAGTACAAACAGAACAAAACAAATGATAATCAAGGAACATGTATAGCCATCATCATCATCAATAACAACATCATAATTTCAACATTATCATCATTAAAGATAAATTTTAGTACTGGTAATGCGATTGCATAGTGAAAGAAAAAGTGTGGAAAGGACCAGAATCAGTTGATCATGTAGCATGTAAGTATTGGTGTGCACTGCAAGGTTCTGGAGTCATCAAAATCATAATAAATTTGACCGAGTCTTGGTAAAGTAACAATCACTGTACACAGAAAGCTATATATGGGACAACACACATGGTGTCGGGGCTAGTACTACCTTGATTTCCTTGTCCTTCTTGGCTCATTACTCAGCTAGTATACATTTTCTTCCAAAATTGTTTGGCACATGTCATTTATTTGTAACCTTGAACATTCAGTGTAAGTTTCGTTTGATTCTCTGAGAATTAATTCTCTTTTTTTTTTACCAGAACTGGAGTTTATCTTTAATATCACCATCATCATCATCTTATCATCACCATCAACATTACTATCTTCATCACAATCGTCACCATCACCACCACCACCATCATCATCATCCTCCTTCTCCTCCTCATTAACATCATAAGTCTAACCACCATCACCACCACCCCATCGATCATTGTCATTATCATCATCAATATCATCACCACCATTATCACCATCATCTTCTTCATCCTCCTCCTCCTCCTCATCGTCACCATCATCATCATCGTCATCATCCTCCTCCTCCTCCTCTTCCTCCTTCTCCTTCTCCTCCTCCTCCTCCTCCTCCTCCTCCTCCTCCTCCTCCTCCTCCCTCTCCTCCCTCTCCTCCTCCTCGTCTTCCTCCTCCTCACCTTCAATGCTTTATTCTGGTCCTTGAGTGCATGTATCTCAGTCTGAGTGGTGACACCAGGAGCTTTCTTCAGCTGTTCATTCTCCTGTTGAACCCTCTCAACGACCTTCTTCATCAGGCCTATAGTTCTCTCCAGCTCCGGGACGGACTTCCCACTTGTACCCTAGAAAACAACAGTTAAAAATGAAATATGACTCTTAGAAAGCACTCAATACAAAATAAAATGTAAGATAAAAAAAGAGAACAAATTATGAGTTGCTTTGTAGAATAAGTAAGATTAAACCAGAAGCATACTATAGCAATTTAAAAAAAATCAAGAAAAAAAGTCTCCCCATATTGGGGGGATTAATTCTAATTACAGGAGCATCAGCTAGATACATGTAAGTTAGAGGTTTTAGTCTAAAGTGTTGGCACTGTTTTAAAGAAATTTAACCGCTATATTTACCTCTCGCCCTGTACAATGATTTTTTCTTCAAATTCAACAAGTACCTTCCTAGTAGGTTCACTGCTTGATTTACTACCTAGCTTACTCGCTTCTGCTCTACTTTTCTTTCTCTCCTGCTCCAGATCAGACTACAGAGCCTCGTTGTTCCTCTAAAAATATCTGTTAATTTCTTGCTCTCTCCCTCTCCTTTCCCTTCCTTCTTGCTCTCTTCTTTTTTTATCACTCTCTCTCCTCCCTCTCTCAACAATGAAAATGTATGTATACTTAATTATCTTTTTAGTAGTCCCACCACTGGATGTACCAGCTAGTTTACTAGCCACTGCTCTACTCTTCTTTCTCTCCGCCTTCATCAAATCGGACTTCAAAGCTTCATTATACCTCTAAAAATATCTGTGAATTTCTTTCTCTCTCACTCCTTTCTCTCTCTTCCGCTTCCTCTTCCTCTCTTCTTTTCTCTCTCTCTCTCTCTCTCTCTCTCTCCCTTAACAATGAACACATGTGATTTATTACCTTCTTTGTAGTTCCACCACTTGATGTACCGGCCAGTTTACTCGCCGCTGCTCTGCTCTTCTTTCTCTCCTTCTCCAGATCAGACTTCAGAGCCTCGTTGTACCTCTCCAGGTCCTCTACCCTCTGCTTGAGGCGAGGGCCATCCCTCTTGGCCTGCTCCGCTTCAAACCTCAGCTCCAGGTTCTCCTGCGACACCTCCAGGAGCTGACGCTGGAGCTCCGTCTCCCTCGAGGCTGATCGGAAGGCAGGAGCGCTGGCTGATGTTCTAACTTCATCCTGGATAAGAGAGAAAGGAAAATGACCTTAAATTTATTTAATGATCTCTATTTATTCAATAAATGACATGTGCCAAACAATTTTGTAGAAAATGTATAGAGTACCGAAGCTGTGACATCATAAAAAATCTATTTTTGGAATTTTTGGAATTTTTCAATTTTTCTTCATTTTCTGAAAGAGCATAAAAAATAATGTCCAAATGTCGAAAATGTAATGTTATGAGCCAGAGCAATATAACACTGAGTTCCTATAGGAAATCTATTAATTTAGATGGTCATATCTCAGCCAATACTTAACATATTCAATTGGTTTTCGACATTTGAACATCATTTTTGATGCTCTTTAGGAAAATGAAGAAAAAATTGAGAAATTCCAAAAATAGATTTTTGATGACATCACACTTCACAACTATATAGTGGCTGAGTAATGAGCATAGAATGATAAGGATATCTGGGTAATTAGCCCCAACACCATGTGCTTAACACAGGTCACCGCGGGCAAATGGGAGTTGTGGTTTTTATTGGAGATGATGCCCAGTGAGTTTGTGTGCGTTTGTTTTTATTTCACTGGTTTAAACAATCAATCTACTGCAGGATAAACAATCCAGAATGAATTATAGCCATGTTTTCTCAACATACGATATCCATACCAAAGATCAAGATTAGCTTTAACCATTTATAGATTTTAATAAACCACATAATGCCTGCTGAATTAATGTAAATATGAATTTATATATTGCTCGAAGTAGGCAACCTTGATTTCTAGTAATGACAAGAAGTTATGTTTGAAATGCCATACTTGTGTTGAAATTTACAACCCTTTTCTCCCGCCGTTGAATTTTCTCATGAATCTTAATCGTAAACTGGATAGTCCCCTTCCTGCGTTCAACGAGATGTACAGTGTACAATTAATAAAGTTGGGATATTTTTTCTACTGTGTCCTTGATTTTGTTTAAAATAACAACCAGCATGGCATCGACTTTGAGACCTGCGCAGCGAAGAAAAGGAAAGTTTTTGATGAAGGCAGATTGGTTTCTGAAGTATTTCTTCATAGAAGAGAAAGGTAAACCACTTTGCCTCATTTGTCACCAGAGTGTGAATATAATGAAGGTTAGTCGCACTAAAAAAGTAAGCCTGATTTTTTTCTCTCACTTATTTTGTTGTTTGCTTGTTTTTGCAAAATTGCAGGTGTGTACACGTATTGCATTTGTGTGTGTGTGTATGGGGGGGGGGGGGGGGGGGGAGAAGACTACCTACGGCCCGCCAAGTTATGCCAATCGTTAGTTGTGGCCCATTAGCTTTAAAAGGTTGGCCACCCGTGATTTAGACGATAATATTTCAAATACATTTTTTAACTTACTGTCGCAGTGATTCTTTCTCTTTCAGACACATCAAGTCTCCTCTGAAGGTTCTCTAGCTTGTCGTTCAGGAACTGGTTCTTTTGCTGCAGGTCTTGGACTACTGACCCATGGCCCAGGGCCTGCTGTCTCTGGAGGGATGAGATCTGTCACAAAAAGTCCAAATTAATCATGATTTTTTTTTCTTCTTCTATTCATTAAGATTAACAGTTAAAATACAAAACACAAATTTCAAATAAATAGGAGCAGAGACAATCACAAAGTCAACCCAAAATATAAACACCTTTATTCTTCAATCATACTTGTAAATTCTTTTATTTCTTCATCAGAAATAGTTGAGATCATCTGAATTTGGTTTAAAATGATGACTAAATTTCAACTCAATCATTAATTCAATCATAGCTTCATAGATTATCTCTATAGTTCATTCAACCAAACTCGATGAATGAATCTCACCTTAGTGCAGTAGAAAGGATAGCTGACAAAGATTCATCTTATGTCATCATGCACACTATAACAATTAATTTCAGTCATTCGTTCATCAATCCATCCATCATTAATTATTCACCTCTTCTTCCAATTGATGGTTCTTCCTTCTCAGATCCTCCATATCAGCAAGGGTGGCTGATGAGGGTTCATCTAATGACTTCATTCATTTACTCATTATATATTCATGCATTCTCTCATTCATTCTTCCATTCATACATTATATATTCATTTATTCATTCATTCATTTACTCATCCACCCACACATCCATTGATTCATCCACCATCCATTATCAATTATTTACCTCTTCTTCCAATTGATGGTTCTTCCTTCTCAGATCCTCGATATCAGCCAGCGTAGCTGATGAGGGTTCATCTGATGATGGTCTCTTGAAGGTTTCACCACGGACGCTTGTTTTCTGCCTCTCACTCCTTGAGATTAAGAAAGAAATGAAAAAAAGCAAGAGAAAAAAAGGTCATGAATTGATTGGCACATAATTTTTCTTTCTCTTATCTCATATTCAAAATTTTACTTGTCTATCTCATTTTTTGTTTATTTATGTTCCTTTTTTTTCTTCCTTTCTTTCATTCTCTTCATTACATTGTACTTGTCTATTTCATTTTTTGTTTATTTATGTTCCTAATTTTTCTTCCTTTCTTTCGTTCTCTGCATTAGAGTCAATTTTGTTCTTCTTCTTCATGAATCTTTTGCTAAATTCGCACATAAAACTTGATACTGTGAAAATGATAAGTAATTTTTATTGATGTCTTCATTAATCAATTTATTTATTTATTCCTTGCATGAACAACTAATCAAGAAACACTACAGGAACCTTTACCATTTGACATTACACTTTTTGTTTTGTCTTCAGTGAGACAAATAAGATTAAAATACAGCCCGAACCTTCTTAAACTTCATGTTTCAGACATGTTTAGGGCAAGTTAAGATCTTACCAAGGAAACAAAAAATACAATAACAAGAATATTGTTATTCTGATAAAGAAATTGTGTGACTCACCTATTGAGGGCCTCCTTCATCATCTTGTTGTTTTTCTGCAGTTGTTCGATCTCTTTATCTTTCTCTCTGATTTTGGCTTTCAGAGATTCTACTTTCTTCTCCCATCTCTTGCTCTCTTCCCATTTAGCCACCTCTACTGCAGACTGTATGATCAAAAATTAAAGATAAACTTGAGTTCTGGTAAAAAAAAAGAAAATTAAATCTCACAGAATCAAACGAAACTTACACTGAATGTTCAAGATTACAAATGAATGTCATGTGCCAAACAATTTTGGAAGAAAATGTGTACTGGCTGAGTAATGAGCATAGAAAGATAAGGAAATAAAGATATAGTAGCCCCGACACCATTTGTGTAGTCCCATATACATCTATCTGTGTACAGTGCTTGTTACTTTACCAAGACTGGGCCAAATTTATTATGATTTTGAAGACTCCAGAACTTTGCAGTCCACACCAATATTTACATGCTACATGATCAACTTTTTCTGATCCATTCCACACCTTTTCCTTCACAATGTAATCGCAGTACCAGAACTCACCATTATCTTTAAGTTGATAAAATATGAAGATCGAGTAAGAAGTGGATCACAGAGGATCACATGGTTCGTAGTTCGAGTCCCATGAATGTAGCAATAATGAGTGATTTCAAGTTCGGTGTTGAAAGCCAACACCGAACTTGAAATCAGGCTGGTGTTGGGATTGACCTCGGGAAATATGACGTATTTCCGGTAGTCTGTGTTGAGGGCATGAATCATGGGAGCTATATATGTTTTACAAGAGATATGATATTTCATCTATTGATTTTTTAATATGGCTTTACATTTGATATTCAAAATGATGCAATTTATTGGATTTTCTGAATGGATTATGCTTTTATCCCAAAACATTTCGTGTGCAGAGTAGGACGTCACTCGGTGTTGAGCCATCGATAACGCGCACACGTGATCGGTATTGTCCTTCTAAACTGACCGTAAATTATAATATTCAAGGGAACTTTTTTAAACAAGGCCACCATGGGCTTTTCCTTTGTTCTCCTATTTCATTTGAAGTTATTGTATAAACTGAACATTATTTGTATGAATATATACTTGTATGTTTATTTGCATTTGTTGTGTGTTTTATTAAAATGAAATGAATAAATGAACGAACGAACTGAAGACAAATCTACAGAAGTGATTAATGATGGAGGAAGGAGAGAAAGAGAGAGAGAGAGGCAAGTTTGAAAGTATGGTAATTCACCTGTTCTTTCTTACTGCCCGTTTCTGTGGTCTTCTTGCTGCTGATAAGATGAGCTTCCAGATGACGTATCTTTCTCTTCAACGCTGATACCTCATCAATATCTCCTACATCTCTCTCTGGTTCCTAGATTTATATCCAGAAGATACTTTAAAAAGTGGCTAGATATTACACACATCACCATACTTGGTCACACATAACATATTAAATGTAATTCCGATTATAAACACAAATTATTACTTTCTCGCATGACAAAGAGTTTCATTCATTAAAAACTAAGAAAAGAAAACAACAATAATAACAAAACAGTTACACTCATTCTATATTATACAAAAAGTAATGAAAACTTAGAATTGCCACTCTCCTGTCTCTGTGTATAGTTCTATAGATGCTGGAAATTTAAAAAACACCCCAACTCCACTACCTTCCTTTTCCTTTTCTCTAATAAAACTAAGCACGATCCAACTTTGATGCACTGCAAACCATCAGTTGGGTGGTACATAAAGAGTAAAAGTCTTAAATTCGGCTTTCAAGGAAAGCCCTGTGTTATAATTGGTGGCTGCTGTCTGGCCAACTTTGACAGATATAACAAGTACACAAATTTTCTTATCATCTTTTCCTCCCCCTCCCCCTCCTCCTCCTCCTCTTCTTCTTCTTCCTCCTCATCCTCCTATTCTTCTTCTTCTTAGAACACCCAAAGAGATAATTCAAGATGTTTATCTGACCTGTTGAGTTGTTTGAAGCTTCAAGACTTCTACTTCTCGGCCTAGATCATCTCTCTCTGACTCCATCTTGTTCACTCTCTTCGTCTTCTTTTCTAACTCCTGTGAGAACAACACCAACATAGGAATTATGTGAGAAGGTATTTTGGAAAAGAAAAAGTCAAAAACAACTTCACTTATACTGTTTTCACACTGGCAATATTTTGCTTAACCCCATACTATAGGTGGGGTTAAGGGGGGTCTTAGCCCCACCTATAGTACGGGGTTAAGCCTATTCCACTTTCTGTTCAGACTGGCTTTTACCAAAGTGGGCTAAAGTTGGCTAACCCCACCTATAGTACGGGGTTAACTAACCCTGCAAAATAGCAGGGCTAACTCCGCAATTGTGATGCTAACTCCTGCTAACCCTGCAATTGCGGTGCCAAGCAAATGAATGAGAATAGAAATGAAAAATAGTCCGGTACTACGCAACGGAGCGTATCGCAGCTGGCCAGATGCGAAGTATGCCCAATCATAACATTCACGATATCCGGGTTAACAATTTGCTGTGGGAATAGCGTGAATTTTCTTATTCCGGAATAGGCGCTAGTACGAGACTAAAAACAGCATGTGTGGAAAGCCAAAAAAAATAGTCCGGGGTTAAGGATAGTACGGGGCTAAGCAAAGTACGGGGTTAAGCAAAACCAGTGTGAAAAGAGTATTACAGTATGATCAATTTTGATTACATAGTGGGATAATGCAGAATTAGTCTCAAAATCTGGGTCCAAACTAAACAACAATACTTAGGAGATTAATATAATTTGCTGGATATTGTTTCTTTGCTTCTGAAAGGATTAATATATTTCGATCCATGACATTTCAATCTTTTCCTCTTTAAATCAAAGTGCTGTGTACTACAGAACACTGTTGCTATATTGTAAAGCGTATTATAATAAGCTTAAACACTTCAGTCAGACCACAATAAAACACACATTCATATGTTAAAAAAAAAGTAGCAGCCTGACATGCCATCATCATTATTTATTTAAGTCAGCATTTTCCCTCTTATGAGGCATGACTGACTGTCGTGCCATGATGACACTTTTTCTTGTCTCGAACATCCTCGTCATTTAGACCCACGTTACTGCTTTCTTTCTTCATCATATCTTTCCATGAAATCTTTGGTCTTCTTTTCCCTCTTATGCCATCCACTTCAGGATCCCACGCTCTTTTCACATGTTCACCATCTTCCCTTCTCATCACATGACCCATCCATCTCAATCCACTTCTCTTTATCATTTCCCATACAGTTTCTTCCAGACCCAACCTTTCCATGAGCTAATAAACTTGTGTTCTTTCTATCGGACAGCCTGTAGGATGAATTGAAAAATGTACTTTGCTAAACCCATATATTTAGACTAACCTCTTTGACCTCCTCCAGATCTTTTGTCATATTTGACACTTGACCTTTGAACTTTTTTACATCTCTCCTAGCATGGTCTAGTCTCCCCTGAGTCTCTTCTAGGACATCTTTTAATTTCTTGGTTTCCTTCTCAATCAGCTTCTGGACATTGATCTGTTGCTCCTGGTCAGAGGCCTGAGACTTGGCGTTCTGCTGCGCGGTGTCGACCATGTCAGCTCGTAGCTGTAACAATGCCTGGCTTAGTGACTGTGGATTGAAAGTATATAGAAACATAAAAATCCATTTATGGGACTACATTCAGGAATCATATGTAAAATTCTCCGAGGCTTGTGCTTTGGCGTTCCATTGGGCAGTGTCTACCATGTCAGCTCGTAACTGTAACAATGCCTGACTTAGGGACTGCGGATTGGAAGTATAGAAACATGAAAATCAATTTATGGGACTACATTCAGGAATAATGTCAAATGCTCCGAGACTTGTGCTTTGGTGTTCTGTTGGGCAGTGTCGACCATGTCGTAGCTGTAACAATGCCTGGCTTAGTTACTGTCCGTTGAGATCAAAATACCATAAAAATGAATAAATGGGACTACATCCACCACTCATTTAAAATGTTTTGTTTTTGAGGCTTCTGCTATGGCATTTCATTACATCCACCATGTCTGCCACACAAGTGATATGTGATTGTGACTCGATTAATGTACTGGAGCACACACAGGTGTCCTGAGACCTGCACTAGCTTGGCTAAGGTGGTGTTGAGTGACTAGTGCCCAACATGTCATTGTTGTATCCACAGAGGTTAAAATTTATTCATTTGAACATAATAATAATAAGTCACATTTGTATAGCACTTAATACGTTTTAAGGTGCTTCACATTGTATTTAGTATTACCCTGGTCATTGGACTAACTTGCTAATCCACACATGCTCCGCTCTCTGGGGAGTATTTCCAGACACCATTAGGCAAACCTCTGTGTTTCTGTGCTAAAATCTCCTGTAAATTAGCATAACTACACTGTTTGTGAAAAATTATACACTGAATTAAGTTAGCCCATAAATATTTCATGAACCTACCTTATGTTGTTTCTCTTTGAGAGAGAGCTCATTCTTCAGTCTATCCACCATGTTTTTCATGGTGGTCGTAGGCGCCTTAGAGTTTGCTGCCCTCTGTTGGTCAATCTCCATCTCTAAGCGTTCAATCTCCGCCTCCTTCTCTTTGATTGTCTGGAGATGGTTGGAGATCTCAGATTGTAGCTTTGTGACCTGGCCATTGTGCACTGCTGTGAGTCTAAGATATGATAACGAGTTAACGATAAACAAAATAAACAAAAGAAATAACAAAGGACCTAGAATCGATCCTTGAGGAACACCAAATGAAATATTAGAAAACCCATCTTTTTTCTACTCAGTTTCAGACATATTCTCTATCAAGTGAAATCATCTTGCAAGAAAGTAATTTACTACAATTCATCAAATACATGTTCTGTTTCTCATAGAGTGTCTTTTCCAAAAATAAATAATTAAATTAAAGAAACCAAATACATCCTTCATATCATCTTTTCAAAGTTGGTATCATGTAGGCATGGTAGAAATAATTCTATATTATTGCTCTTTATACTCAATCTGTGTATTCATTTTTGTTTCCTTCTTCTATTTTAAGACTACATCTAAATTGTGCCCTCCCCTACGCAAAGTCTTGTTGGCATAAAGATAAATTTACTTATTTTTTTTTTTGATCAAAAAGTAGTAGGGGTATTACAAAGCGGTATTATGTTGAATTCTGAAGACCATATATGGAAGGCTTTGTATTCTGTATTTCCTCAATAGGTGAGTTGAAACAATTTTAATCATACTTTTCTGTTTTTCTCTGAAAGTCTTTAGTCTTCCTGTTCAGTACATCTTTCCACTTAGCGACCTCTGTATGAGCAGCCTTGAGTTTGACCGACATAGCAGCCAGAGCATTGTCCTGCTGGGCTACCAAGTCTTCTAACTCCTGCAGGCGGGCAAACTCCTTGCTACCTGGGACCGGTGGGGCAGGCTTGTTCGCTAGGTCCTGAAATAAACATACGCATACATTAACTCATATCCTGCCGTAAGGCCTCATGCACGCTACCGTTATAGTGCTTTGTACACGCGAGGGCGCTATCGATATGCTGCATAGTTCACGCGAGCGAGCCACAGCTTAGCTGCTTTATGCATGCATGCTCGCATTCGTAATAGCAGTTATTGTTCATGCTTATTGTACTGTACTGATGAGAGCACTCTCGCAAACATGCTTCCTGTTCATCCAAGCGTGAACACATACCACACAAAATGATATTAAACAATTTGGGATAAAACACTCTTTCTTAAGATGTTTAATAATTTACTGCTCATAGATGATTTTTAAATTAGCAATTTTCTAGGAGTAAACTTGTTTTTGACTCACACTGTATAGCCACTTTTTTATTGAGTTTCCCTTGAGTGGTCTTTATGTACAGGTTTCACTGTTCCAAAATCACATTTTTTCTGTTCCTTTCAAGTTTCACTACCGTTTCCCATTGAAACGTGTACTAAAGGAACCTGTACATAAAAAGTCCACCTGCCTATATAGACTACTACTTGATGTTTCTTCTGAGTGGTCTTTATGTACAGGTTTCACTGTACCATTTGTTCTTTTCTCAGTTTTATATTTCATGATTTCAGTTTACCTACTTGACATTTTATGCAATAGTTTTTAAGCCAGAATTAATTCCTCATGTTTGTGTTCAGTATCGTGTCATGACCTAGTGTCATCGTACATATTAATTTGATTCCTCCTTGTGCTTTGTTTTTGTTAGCTGGTTTGTTGATGAAATGTTATACATTTTATTTACCTTCATGCTATATTTTGCAGGTCTTCTGGGTGCACCAGTTGGTCGGGAAGAGGGACCATTACAGTTACAGTGATTTCGTTTGCTTTCCTCTTCCCCGGCAGCCAACTGATGCACTCAGAGGACCTCCAGGAAGATTGTGCATTTATAACTGACATTCTCTTAATGTCTGTTTACTCATATTTACATTGTTATAGTTTTTGTGAATTGCTGAATAAATAATAATAATAATAATAATAACTAGAAATTTAATTCGTCACGAAGACGAATAAGGTGGTCTGTCTAAGTCTTATGATAGCTTTGAGAATGGGAGAAGTTATATAGACATGTAAACAATGATGATCATGATGAACATGGTGATGATCATGATAGTAAAGGTGATGATGATGATAATTATAATGTTATATGACGATAAAAACGATAATGTTAATGATGATGATGAGCATGAGCATGATCCTGACATCTGATTAAAAAAAATGAGGAAATATTTAGATAGCAAATAGTCTCAGCTACAACATACTAAAATTTGGGAGAAAACTGTTGAATAACAACCGAGATACTGGTCAAAACACCTTGTCATGCAGATTCATGTTTTGAAAAAAGTGACCTCCCATAGACATAACACGCAAATATGACAAATTATGCATTGTCGCCTTTAATCGAATTTTTTACTATGATGACGTCATCGAAATGAAAAATGAATGAAATATTTTTGATAGAGAATTATCTCAGCTACAACATATTAAATTCTGGGAGAAAATCGATCACCGATAAGTGAGATAACCTCAATTAAACAAAGACAAAAATGACGTCATCAACAAAATACATTTCGTTGAGTTTAGATGCCAATATGATGACTTTGTTTCACTTTGTACGAGTCAGGGTGGTATGAAATCATATCTACAACTCATGCTTTTTCCAACCATGATATAAAAAATTGGGGGTCGATGGACTATCTGAAGAGCTATTTCGATTTTTAAAATGGCATGTTTTTGATCAAATTTGCATTATATTGCCCATAGCAGTACGCGCGGATTTTGAACTTTGACGCACGCTCATTGCCTTATGAAATATGAAGAGTGACTGAAATTAATGTAAATTGTCAATTACGTTAAGAGGAATCCAAATCATGTAAACATTTTGAATTTGACATTTTCCGCGCGCAGTGAGCGCGCACAACGCTCGCGGGGACACTTACGGACGGAAAATTTTGAAATGCTTAAAATGACCTGATTCGTACTCTCCTTTAGTAGTTAAGTGATTTTGAGCTTTTTAAAATTTTGACGCGCACATACGCGCGCGTCATGACCTTCATGTGACCTTTGATGACATGACTTGTTGACCCTTGACCTGAAGTATATGTGATATGAATATGAATGACCTTTGCTGATGCATCATGAAGATATGATGGATAATGTGATTTCACAAAATGGCGCCTGGATGACGTCACGATGATTTGATGACCTTGAAAATGTTCATGTCAGGTCTCATGACAATGACCTATGAATGTGCCAAAATTTAATGAAATTAACTAAACCAAACTTAAGTTATCCGGGGCACAAAAAACAGGAAGAAATAAAAATAAAGAATAATAATAAATAAAGAAAATTCTGACGAAATCAATAGGTGGTCTGTTGATAACAGACCACCTAATAATAATAATAACAATAATAAGGGTTAGGAACATACCATTGCTGCTTTCTTGAACTTGTTAAATGCTAGATCATTCTGAGCATGAAGCTTGAGCTGTAAATCATGTATCTCTGTCATATACTGTGCGCTCTCATCAGCCGATTCCTGTCATATGAAAAGACATAAACAATTCTAAGGTTAAAGGTCATTCTGTGAAGATTGAGCTGCAGGTCAGGGTATAATTTCAGGGAAATCATCATGAGTACAAGTTTGCTGACATAGCATCAACATGCATGTATTAGAAGTTAACACAAGTTTCCATGGCACGAGTTTCCATGGGATGTTAGCAAACTTGTCTTCAATGTCAAAGGTTAAAGGTCATTCTGTGTAGATTGAGCTGCAGGTCAGGGTATAATTTCAGGGAAATCACCATGAGTACAAGTTTGCTGACATAGCATTAACATGCACGTATTAGAAGTAATACAGGTTTCCATGGGATGTCAGCAAACTTGAGCTGCAGGTCAGGGCACTACTTCATGAAATCCTCATAATAATAATAATAATAATAAAAATAAAACGGTGCTTATACTGTATAGTGCTTTCTACCGAAATCTCTAGGTTCGCCGACATAACGATAAAATGCATGTATCAAAGTTAACACGCATTTCAATAGGATGTCAGCAAACTTGTTCCTTAATGGGTTCATGAAACCATGCCAATGTTTGCTATGTAATTCATGTTCATCACCTGATTCCTACAATAACAGAAACAAACTGGCAAAACAAGTAACATACACCGAGGATAAAAAGAGTAATCACAAAACCAACTACCCAATCTATCCAACAAGGGAGGAGAGACTCAAAGATGTGTAACACACACCCACATTTGTAGCAACACACCTACATTTTAGATTACATGATACTGAATTAGAGACGATAAATCTAAAGTCAATGACTATTTTATAATAAGAGAGACAAACAAAAAGGAGAATACGAGTACATGCACAAGGAAGCAATTAGCTTGTAAACCTATACAAATAATGAATAACATAATATAAAAGATAATATTCATTTTACAACAAAAAATATAGACTAGAAACAAAATAATAGTTTTTCTTCTGGTTGTCTTACCTTTCTTGATTGTTCTAAGAGGTCAATGTACTTCTGCAACGCTTCCTCCTTCTGTTGTATACGATTCTAAAAAAAAGAAAAAATTAGAATAGATAATATTATTCTGCTTATAAAGCGCTTAATACAATGTCTCTTAATAGTGCTTTACAGATATGCTATTACCCCGGTCATTGGATTCAGTGCTTGCCCACAAACATGGATCTTCACCTTCTAGGGAGCATTCCAGCCAGGCGTTACTTGACGCTCAAAAACTGTTTGACCGACAATGACAGTCACATCCTACCAGATACCCATTTAACACCTGGGAGAGTAGCAAGTGTAGGTTAATATCTTGCCAAAGGATATTAGTGCCGTGTCGGGACTTGAACCCTCGACCTTCGCATCTCCAGTCAAGCGCATAAGATCACTGCAATATAGAGGAACCCTCCTCCCACCTTCCTTTACCTAAGATCCCACCTGCAGAGTGTCAATTTCACCCTAAAAAATGAAAAAGCTCCTCACTGTGAGGGGGGGGGGGGGGGCAGGAGTCTGCGCTACTCTGAGGGCCTGTTTATGTCCACACGTCACATAATCACACATGTAGGTGTTCACACAACATACCTGTAAGCCTTTTATCTGAGTCGACGCTACTCTGAGGGCCTGTTTGTGTCCACACGTCACATAATCACACATGTAGGTGTTCACACAACATACCTGTAAGCCTTCTATCTGAGTCGACGCTACTCTGAGGGCCTGTTTGTGTCCACACATCACATAATCACACATGTAGGTGTTCACACAACATACCTGTAAGCCTTCTATCTGAGTCTGCGCTACTCTGAGGGCCTGTTTGTGTCCACACGTCACATAATTACACATGTAGGTGTTCACACAACATACCTGTAAGCCTTCTATCTGAGTCTGCGCTACTCTGAGGGCCTGTTTGTGTTCACACGTCTCATGCATCTCCTTGAAGCGAACCCCTTCAGACATGGCGTCCTTGATGACCTCGTCTCTGTCAGACGACGCAGGTAATCTCATACGAAGCTCGTTGATAACACGGTCTCTAGCCAGAAGGTTCCTCTCGGTCTCTGCAAGACTCTTCTCCTTCTCTAATAATTTCTGTGAGAGAACAAAGAAGGAGGAGAAAACCAAGAATGAGAGGAGAGGGGGAGACAGAAGGATAATGAGAAAGAATGAGAGTGTGAGAGAGATAAGAAAGAGGGAAAGAGGATGAGAGGAGAAGGGAAGAAAGCGAGAGATGTAGAGAGAAAAAGAAAAAGAGAGCAAGAGAGAGTGAGAAAGAGATGTTTTGTGAACATAAAAACTGTCGTTGTTTTGCTCACTTTAGATCTGAATTAACAGCATTAAAAAATATGCCACTTCCAAGTGCTCTTTATCAGACACTTTCACACATTGAATATACTGGCCCGTTTCTCTGCTGGAAACTTTCAAGAATCTGGACCACACTGAATTTGTAAACGTTAAGAGCATGCCGAAGTTTCTAATTTTACTGTCTACAACCTTGAATACTTTGGGTTTATGAACATATCTCCTATGCAAAAGAACCCTGCTTTACTGGTCTGGTGTCCATCTGTCACATGTCAATAGAGATGCAAACAACAAGCAACCTACAACAACAAAATTATTCATACCCCTTGTAAATTTGATGTTTTTGTGTTTTTCTCAGGGAAGAAAGGTGGCGTTGTTGAATTTGGGCATTGCTGAATTCTGGCCTTTGTTGAAAACATTTAGATGTAAGCTAAATTAGGACTAATCAATTTTCACATACTTAAGAAATTACAAAACTTGGTAAGGGTAGGAGTAATTTAGGTGTTATCTGTATATGTATTGACAGACAGTATTTTTCTCCTTACCTTATGTAGTGTCTTGATCTCCGCCCTGGAGTCCAGGATAGTCTTAACATGGGTCTTGATTGTCCTGATGGAGTACTCGAGCTGATTGGCTACCGGTAGACTAGGGTCTGGTAGAGACCCTGTCACCTCCTCAAACTGAATAGGGTAAGAAAATGAAAGAATTATGTAACAGGAGCAAATGGCTTTTTGTACAATGTGTCGTAGCATGGGGAGAGGAATTAAGGATCTAGGATAAGTCTTAGTCTTCCTGATTGACTACCGGTAGACTTGGGTCTGGCAGAGACCCTGTCACCTCCTAAAACTGAAAACAGAGAAATAGGAGAAAGAGGAAGTAATCTTTAAAGGCATCGTTTAACAATGTTTAATCTAAGATGCATGGCCCTACATGTTATCAGCGTCTGTGATACGGTATTGAAGCCCTAAAAAAATTGCGCTTCAAAATGACCAGGTAGTGCCTCAAAAAATAAACATCTTTGAGTGACTGGTTTTAACATACTCATTTTCCCCTATAGACTGTAGTGTTATAAAAACCGTTAGGAAAACAAATTTTGAAATTTCGATATCCAATCATAAATATCTTGATAATCAGACAGGCGATCTGCTTGTAAAAGTCATGGGTTCCTGACTGACCAACAGACTGACTGATCACTCTGATTTGAAGCAATAAACTTAATATAAATAATGAAAAAGAATAGTTCACCTTGACTGCTGCATCAGCAATCTCTCTCTGCTGCCTCTCTAAGTTGTCAATCATCCTCTCAAGCTCCGCCTCTCTCTGTTCCCATAGCAACTGTCTCTCCTCCGCCTGTCTGTTGATGTGAACGTTCTCCTGCTCTAGGCTCATCACCGTCTGCTCGTGGGTCGTCACCATGTTATCAAAATACTTCACCTGGAGACGATAAAGACAAAAATTAATCAAACTACCGTATTTGCCGGCGATAAGGCCGCAGCGCCGCATAGGCCGCACCCCCGATTTTGACCGCTCGGCCATCCCGACCCTGACGCTTTCTCTTGCAGCTTTCTCTTGTGTAGGCCTATTGTGCCATAGCTTTGCTCGCGCGAGCTGAGAGTGAGAGGATTGAGGTTGCTTTAGCTATGGCAAAAACTTAAATCTAGATCTACCAGTAGAGTTTGGTTGGTTAGTTATGAATTTTATTTACAAGATTGACAAAACTTTGCCCTTCATTTAAAAAATGTAACACATAACTGTCGGTAAGACATGTGTTAATCTAGACAGTTATTCTAGAAATGTCCATCACCCTGCATTGTTGTTCCATATGTTCAAATTCGTACTGCTTTTCATGGTTTTGACTTGCGATTTTTTTTTTTTTTACTCTTTCGCCGCAAAGGTCACACCCCGACTTTTTGATATTTTCTCTTCCAAAAATACTGCGGCCTTTACGCCTGCAAATACGGTAGAATTATTATTTTTTTTTTTTTTAGTGGTGGTTATTTTATCTGACTGCTAAAAAAGCAAAGATGCTTGTAAGTAAGCAACCAGATGGCCAACGGCTTTAGGTCCTCTCCAAGGGACCTGGTAATGAGGATTAATGCCTTACCAAAGGGCACTAGCGCATCGACTTGGTTTCGAACCCGGGTCACCGGATTACGAGACCACTGCTCTACCGACTGAGCTATCTGTACTTGCATGCAGTTTTATTTATTGAATTGTTATGTCATTAATTCTTCATTAATCAATGCTCTACCAACTGAGCTATCGCGCCTCCTCACTTTAGTTACATTTGTATATAATAGTGCTTCTTACTTCATAAGGAATTCTACTTTATCTCAGCTTCATCGCTACTAATTTGAACGCGTGTTTTGTTTATGTTTTTTCTTCTTCAAGTACGTGTTTAATACTACTTATCCAAGAACAAGTGTGTCAGTAAACATCAATCAAAGCATGTGGGTCTTTAAGCCCGTCTGCACTAATTTGGCCAGGAGGGATTAGACCACCCAGCGTGGTCACTGACAGGTGGTTATCTCATCAACTCAGCTCTCAATTAATGTACGAAAAAGAGAATCATGGGGGACCAACGGGCACCGCTTGGGGATGGTTTTCTTTATAGAGGGGGCAAGTAGTGCAGTGGAGCTTTAAATAAATGAAATACACACAGGCTGCAGGTACATGTATAGTCCATTGTAACATGGCAAAATTGCATTTGCATGAACTGTCGTATATCTTTATCAAAACTTGTCATCAGAGACAAATGACAATTTCTGTTATAAGCTACTGAAATCCTTGCTTCTGATTGGTTATCAGCAGGCTTTGTGTTGTGAACCCCCCCCCCCCCAGAACTGCAAACCCTGTGCCACCATTACCTCAACATCTACTCTTAACTATCCTGAGGACAATATAACACAATAATATATATATAATACAATACAATATAATACAGACAATTGCCTAGGGGTAGTTGTCTAGTGAAGCTATCCTAGAATTGATATTATTTTATTTTTTGATGAAAAAAAAGGCTATCATATGTTAATAATAATAATAATAGTTTGTCCTTATATAGCGCTTTACAGATATATATAATTGCCCCGGTCATCGGATTCATGCTTACCCGCACACAATGTATGCACATTCTCCACTCCTGGGGAGCATTCCAGCCAGTCGCCACTTTACAAGCGCCCCTTGCTAATCAGACATTATCTTTCGCATCTTACCGGGTATCCATTTAACAGCTGGGTGGAGAGTGGCAAATGTAGATCAATGTCTTGCCAAAGGACATAAGTGCCGCGGCGGGACTTGAACTGCGGACCTCGTGATCCACAGTCCAGTGACATATCCACTCGGCCACCACACCTTTTAGGATGTTTCTCAAAGATATCAAGCATTCATACCTGTTGCTGAAGCCTGGTTATCTGTCTGTTGAGTTTCATATCTTGAAGTCTGGTCTCTTGCATTTTGGCGTGCCACTCTGCAACTTTCGCTGCTCCCCTGCTGTCCTTCAGTGTCTGCATCAGTTCCTGTAGCCCAGAGTGCTTAAGCTCCAGATCAGCGAACTGCTCGGAGACCTTCTCCCTCTCATGCTTCAGCTGGAGAAAAAAAACAGCGATATTAACCTGTTGCCTACGGAAACCGGGAGGTCCCTGTGTTAAGCCTATGGGACTTGACAATCCAGTAGTCAACGGGTTAAGGAATTTGAGAGCTTGGAAAGAGCAGAGAGATTTCTCACTTCTCAGTTGTTCCCAAATGCACTCATGAGGTAAATCCTAAGCTTAAAGATAAAGCTGAGTTCTGGTCATGCGATTGCATTGTGAAAGAAAAGGTGTGGAATAGATCAGAAAAAGTTGAGTATGTAGCATGTAAGTATTGGCGTGCACTGTAGTCATCAAAATCATACTAAATTTGGCCCAGTCTTGGTATTAAAAGTAACAAGCACTGTACACAGAAAGTTGTATATGGGACTACACAAGTGGTGTCGGGCCTAATTACCTTGATTTCTTATCTTTCTATGCTCACTACTCAGTCAGTATACATTTTCTACCAAAATTGTTTGGCAAATGACATTTATTTGTAATCTTGAACATTCAGTGTAAGTTTCGTTTGATTCTGTGAGAATTCATTTTCTTTTTTTACCAGAACTCAAGTTTTTTTGTAAATAGAAGATATCCTACTGCAGAGTGAACAACAAACCATCATAAGAGATATGTCAGGAATAAAACAGGAGATGGGATTCTAACTGTTTTACATGTGAGCTATAAAGAACAGCACTAATAATGTATGTTCACTCCACCAGCAACATCTAAACCAACTCTATAATGAAATCATGATATACATGTACAGTGAAATAAAGACTACCCAAGGGAGACAAGAAAAGTAGTCTTTTTTGGAAGGTGGTCTTTATGTACAGGTTCATTTAGTACATGTTTCAATGAGAAAACATTTTCAAGGGACACAACAAGTGTGGTCTTTGTAGACAGGTGGTATTTCTATACATGTGGTCACTAAAGCAGGTTTTACTGTACTTGTCTCTCAGTCATTTTACTTACAACTTTCATTTCTTTTTCCATTCTCTCTTTGTCGAGCCTGAGTTGAATCATAGCTTTAGAGAACTTCTCCTGCTCTTCCAGAGGAACTGCTCCACTGAACTGTCTCCTCAGTCCCTGCATAGGAAAGATATTGATTTCTTTTTTAATAGTAGAAGGTATACTCATTAGCCATTCCAACTGTTATAATACCATCTAAACCCATGTAACAGATATAAAGCATTCTAAGAAAAGAATACAATATTATCAAATTTCAACTGTCAAGGCATCTCAGTAGATCCATGTGATCTGATGGTTTAACATAAAATGGTGATAAATCCAATCTCAAATTTCACATTTGATAAAAACATAATAAAGATGCATATCTTCTTGTATAACAAGTCGTTTTGTTTCCTTCATTCAGACATTTATACGAGTATCTGATCATTTCAAATAATTTCCAAGTAATGAATGATTGAATTTTCAATGAATTACATCACAGTGAACATACACTCATCATACAAATTTCAGAATATCCCTTATCAAATCACCAGATGAAGACTACCGGTAGATGAATTAATATATTTGAATTTAAGTGAATTGAATGGTTTATTATGATTACTGAAGATGGCATCCCGAAGGTTAAATTACATTCAGTTCATAAAAAAGTACAAAATTACCTGAACAGTTCCTCTTAGATGCCTTGCTTTGTTTCTCGAGTCGACCTGACAGTGATAAAGACTCTGTGCCTTCTCATCCAGCTGTTTCTCTAATCTTAAGACCTTGGCTTCGAGCTGTCTGTTCTTCATGGTAGCAGCTTCTAGCTTCCTGACAGCTGTACCTTCGCTCACCTGAAGGGCTACAATGTGATGGTGAAGCTTCCCTGATGGGAGGAAGAAAAAGGATAGATAGTTTGGACAATAAGCAACAAGAATGGTATTGTAGAGATGTTGTGGTCTAGTGGATAAGTCACCGGACTGTAGATCGCAAGGTACAGGGTTCAAATTCCAGCCCGACACTAACATCCTTTGGCAAGACGTTACACTACATTTGCCACTTTCTACACAGGTGTTAAATGTGTACCCGGTAGAATGCGAACGTTAATGTAGTTTGCTCAGCAGTGGGAGCGTTTGTATAATGACGCCTGGTTGGAATGCTCCCCAGGGAGTTGAGAATGTGCATACCGATGTGTTCTTTGAAGTCTAACAACCGAACATCTTCACTTTGCTGAAGAGCTTGAATGTGGTGGTAAAACAGCTCCAAACCTCAAAAGAGGACAGAAATAGTTAACAATACCTGCAGTTGTGTGCACTGAACAAGAACGTCTAATCATCCAAATATCAACAAAATTAAAACCAAATATAAGTTAAGTGTGCCTACGAATATACAAATAACAACTTTTACTGATCTCATTTTACCAATATTTAGTTTGTTCTGGATTTTGAGGAGACATGGCATACATATAATTCCTTTCTAACGTGTCTTGTCGTTGGAGGTGATGGTAGTGATGGGTGTATTGGTAATGATGAAATACATTCAAGTAAAGCTACATGCAGGGATAAAGAAATCTTATAAAGAATATCCTCCCAAGAGACCAACGCATGATGTGCTTATTTTCTGTCTTAACATTTGCATCATCCAAACTAAAACTGTGCTCCATATGTTTCAACCCTTTGAGGTGTTAACACTTGTACAAGCATTGCTTTTTAGTGGACCTCTCTGTTTCCAGCATGTATTTCTACATTTGCTTTAAATGCTTATACTAGATTTGTAAAGTTTTGTTGGAAACATGAATAAATTGATATTGAAATTGAACCCTGTCTATCACAATCATTATTTTCATTCATTTTCAAAATACCTATAATGGCCTTCTCATCGCTCTGGGTCTGTATGTCTAGGAGCTGTTGCCGTAGCGATTGGACCTCCTTGTCTCTAGATACCTGCTGGGCTTCGAGGGCCTTGGTCTGGAACGAGGCTACGTCAACCATTTCCTGCAAACGGGAACAAATCAAGTGAGATAAGATTAGGGTTGTATGTTTGTTTGAGTTTGTTGTTTATTTTTTATTTTAGCACGGTGGCAAACTTCAGCCAAAAGCTCTTCTTCAGCATGGCCATGCATATCTAAAAGCAATCACAATTTTACAAAGAAACATACATTATAGATTAATATGGTTTAGATACAAAGTAAAATAAAACATACACATAGAAGGCGAGAAATCCAAATTTAGAAAAAGAAAAGTAACAGAAGAAAAAAAACAAAAAAAACATCTACAGTAAAGGAAAATCCAACTTTGAAAGCAAACTTCTCTAGAGGAAAGCAGAAAAAAATCAGAGAAGTAGCCTGGTAAAAGTTCGAAAGAAATCAGACAATTTTTTTAAAAGATAGTTATGAATTTTTCAAAGTTGTAATCACTATAGGTATGAGCTCTTCAAATTGGCTGAATCGGTAATGCCTCTGTGATGTGGTGGCAGACAACCAATCCACTGACCAAACTGCCAAATTCGAGATTCGCATTCATTTTTCACCTCTCCCCAGAACTCAACCTTCTCTTTAAACAGAGCCCCTCTCTACCAATCCTAGATCTGTTAATAAGTTGTAATCATCGAGGATAAGATTCTCAGTTCTTAAATTTACCTTAAGCTTATCATTCTCATTTCTAAGTGCAGCTGCTGATCTTTCAAGCTCGGTGATGTTTCTCTTGTCAACATCACTCGCTGCCTTGGTAACGCACTGCGAGAGTTCATCCCGGAGCTCCTGCTCGCTGCGCTGTAACTCAAGGTTCAGCCTCGTCAGCTGGTAGTCAAAATAGAAAATGTAAGGGATATATCTTTTAAAGATAAAGTTGAGTTCTGGTCATCCGATTGCATTGTGAAAGAAAAGGTGTGGAATGGATCAGAAAAAGTTGATCATGTAGCATGTAAGTATTGGTGTGTACTGCAAAGTTCTGGAGTCATCAAAATCATAATAAATTTGGCCCAGTCTTGGTAAAGTAACAAGCACCTGTACACAGAAAGATGTATATGGGACTACACAAATGGTGTCGGGGCTACTAACCTTGATTTCCTAATCTTTCTATGCTCATTCCTCAGCCAGTATACATTTTCTGCCAAAATTGTTGGGCAATTGCCGTTTATTTGTAATCTTGAACATTCAGTGTAAGTTTTATTTGATCTGTGAGAATTAATTTTTTTTTTACCAGAACTCACTTTTATCTTTAAAAACAAGCATCATACATATACATACATTTTATATGTTACAATATGACAGTTTACAAAGTGACCACCTCAAATGTAAACCTGCTTTGACTGTGTGTACATTATATCTATTAGTTCATTGTCACCACTGGAATCAACATTTTTATCTCGACAACCACCACCACCATCATCACCAACACCACCATCACTACCAGCATCATCATCATCATCATCACCACCACTACCACTACCATCATCATCATCACCCCACCATCACTACCACCACCATCATCATCATCATCATCATCATCACCACCACCATTACTATCACCACCATCACCACCACCATCATCACCATCATCACCACCATCACTACCATCATCACTACCATCATCATCACAACAACCATCACTACCATCATTATCGTCACCACCACCATCACTACCACCACCACCGCCATCAATACCACGAGCATCATCATCACTACCACCACCATCATCACCACCACCATCATCATCATCATCATCATCTTCACCATCATCAACACCATCACTACCATCGTCATCATCATAATCATCATCATCATCATCATCACCACCACTACCACTACCATCATCATCATCACCCCACCATCACTACCACCACCATCATCATCATCATCATCATCATCACCACCACCATTACTATCACCACCATCACCACCACCATCATCACCATCATCACCACCATCACTACCATCATCACTACCATCATCATCACAACAACCATCACTACCATCATTATCGTCACCACCACCATCACTACCACCACCACCGCCATCAATACCACGAGCATCATCATCACTACCACCACCATCATCACCACCACCATCATCATCATCATCATCATCTTCACCATCATCAACACCATCACTACCATCGTCATCATCATAATCATCATCATCATCATCATCACCACCACTACCACTACCATCATCATCATCACCCCACCATCACTACCACCACCATCATCATCATCATCATCATCATCATCATTACTATCACCACCATCACCACCACCATCATCACCATCATCACCACCATCACTACCATCATCATCATCATAATCATCATCATCACCACCATCACTACCATCATCATCATTATCATCATCACCACCACCATCACTACCATAATCATCATCACCACCATCATCACCACCAGCATCACCACCAGCATCAATACCACCACCACCACCATCATCAATCACCAACACCACCATCAATACCATCACAATGGCCATCCTTACTTACATCAGCAAACTTCTGCTCCAGCTCTGTATTTCTCATCTCCATCGTATGAAGACTGTTCCTCATCTGAGTCTGCATCCGGACTGCATGCTCCGCCCTCTGTCGCTCGTTCAACTCCTTCATCTCCATGGTAGTCAGCCTCTTAGCCAATGAGAGCGTCTCGCTGCCGGGGTAGACACTCCCCCCTTTCTTGCCAAGAGCCTCTGTGTGAAGACCATTTGGAAAGATGGAGTAAGTAATTCTGTACCGACACTCCAGTAAACTTTCTCATCTTTATTCAGATATTCAGATCTTTCTCCAAGCTCAGCTCAGCTCAGCTCTCTCTCTCTCTCTCTCTGCCTCTCTTTCCCTCCTTCTTCCATTTCTCTCTCCAACATACCTTGGAAGTTGCCATAGTCCTGCATTTTGTGATCCAGTAAGTAGTTTCTCTTTCTCACAGCTCATCTTTCTAGCTCTCTCTCTCTCCCATCCCTCTCTCTCTCTCTCTCTCTCTCTCTTCCATCTCTCTCTCTCTCTCTCTCACACTCTCCAACATACCTTGTAAGTTGCCATAGTCCTGCATGGCTTGTTCCAGTGTATGTAGTTTCTCTTTCTCCATGGTCAGTTCTCTCTTCAGGCTGTCAAGGTCATCTTCCAGTCTTTGATTCTCACTCTGAATAAAAACAAATATATTAACATTAGTTTTTCTCTCCTTTTTTCCTGTATGTGTGTGTTTAGGGGTAGGCTTTCATATAAGGAATCCCTCCTTTCTGCATATACCAAATGCTCTCCTAAATTGCCATTGTAATTTTTATCACTATCTTGTTTTTTGTTTATCATTCCATTCTGTATTTGTATGTTTTAAATGTTTTTATGAAGAGTGTTGAATAAGCTTTGAATTTGAATTCGAACTATCCAATAAATATTTTGGTAATGGTAATATTTTAAAAAATTGTGTACTGATGGAATATAACAGTTAAACACAATCCAAACAAAACTAACACTAAATGTTTAATATAATCAATATATGACATATGCACAAAAATTTGGTAGGAAAATGTATCACGGCAGAGTAATGAGCAAAGACAGTGAGAGCCATACTTTCAAAGTGTTGTTTTGCCATTTTTGTTTTTAAGTGGACATATTTCATAGACTTATGTAGTCATAAAAATATGATTGTTTGAATGCTAAAGCCTGCCCCCTCAGAAACACTCTGCAGCACCTGTTGATAAGCACTTTATAAGTAACGTTTTTATTATTTATTATTATAATTATTATTATTATTGTCCATACATACAGAATGAAGTCGCAAATGAAACCTCACCAATCATATTTCAATCCCCATACCGTGCGAAGAAGGTTACAGAGAAAGAATAGAAAGGAGCGTTTTATCCCAAATCATTTAGTATCATTTTTGTGTGGTATGTGTTCACGCTTGGATGAACAGGAGGCATTGTTTGCAAGAGTGCAAAAATCGACTTGCGCCAAAGTGATGCCTACTGATAGTATGTGATATGTTGGGATTAAAGTGAGAGAAGCAAAGTCACACAATGCACACACACAGGCGCGCACAAATGTTTGTTGATATTTGATATGTGTGGCATGATAAATTTTGATAGGGGGTGTTATGTGGATCTGCAATGACCGAATTAATACCCAAATCCCTATTGTTTTATTCAAACATCACATAAGCAACTTTGGCGCAAGTTGATTTTTGCACTCTCGCAAACAATGCCTCCTGTTCATCCAAGCGTCAACACATACCACACAAAAATGATATCAAATGATTTGGGATAAAACACTCTTTCATAGGATGTATAATAATATACTGTTGATAGATGATTTATAAAATAATTAGCAATTTTCTAGGTGCTAACTTTTTTTTGACTCACACTGTATTTACTGACACTTTCAAATCTCACCAAGTTATGTTTGGTGTGATATCAAATGTTTTGATACGTTTACCAAAAAGCTGCAAAATGTTTTAGGAAAGAAAATGATTGACTAGCCACACTCTCGGTGCATGAGGTGTCGTGGTTGAGTGGATATGTGACCGGACTGTGGATCACAAGGTCCGCGGGGTTCGAGTCCCGCCGGGGAACAATGTCCTTTGCCAGACATTAATCTACATTAGCCACACTCAACCCAGGTGAGGTAAAAGGGTACTGTACCTGGTAGGATTATTCCTTGAAATGGACTGTGCGCTGATAACGGCTGCCGAAACTAAAGCTAGGGTTATAATTTCTAAAGCTCTATGGAAGCGCATAGGGACGTTATATAATATGATATAATATAATATAACTAAATATTATTATTATAATCATTATTATTATTACTATTTTCCAATTGGAGAACTTATTAGACTCACCTCCAGCTGGTCAATGCGAGTGTTTCTAGTCACCAGCTGGTTGTCTGTCTGTAGTAAGTCTCTGTATTTGGCGGCTAATTCATTGTACTGCCTGTTAGCGGAGGCTAGCTCTGCTGCAGGTACACTGTCATCTAACGCTCTCTGTAAGGCTGCCACTTTGAACTGTGATGCTTCCTGGTAAGAAGAAGAAAAAACAAGTCTCTCTCTCTCTCTCTTTTATTTTCTTATTGCCTTCTGTTATGCGATCGTTCTCCTTCAATTATCCTCTAGTCATCCGTTTCAATCTCTTCTCTTGTTTCTCTTTCTTTCTTTGATCATATCCTTGATTATTTATTGTGAATTGCCATTTATATTTATATGTTATGCTTTTGTATGTATCTTTTGTGAATTCAATTTGTTTCAGCCTCTGAATGTTTTTTAATCAATAAACCATATCAAATCAAATCAAGGCCGACATAAAATTCAATTCAATCCTCATTTATTTAATTCTTGATTAAAAAAATTACATTTATACAAAAGATACAAATAATTCATAAACAAATTTTGAAAATGAAATGGGAAACTACATAAATAGAGTCCTTAGGCCTTGTACGAGCGTAGTTCCCAAAGCATTCATAGCATAATGTAAAGCAAAGATGAGAAGAAAACCATACCCCCCCCCCCCTCCCCCCCCCCAAAAAAAACAACAACACAACAACAACAAAAACATTAATAAAAAAAATATAAAAAGAAGAAAAAAATAAACAAACACATAAAACAATATAAACAAAAGATGAATAACTATACATATTTGAGATAAAGAAACTGCTTCAAATGAGATGTCCTTATTAATTTTTCTTTTTCAAATAAAGAAATGAATGCATAAATGAATGGAATGCGAATGAAATTGCAATACGAGGGGAAAAAGGAAATATTGGGTCTTTTTGTTTCCATCAGATTTGTTTCAGATAGAAACTGCTAATAATATTTTAGCATTAGTTTCCAAGTATACATTATTATTCCAATACTATTTCAAAAATTAAACAAAAGCAAAGCAAAATTTGGATGTTCTAGAGAAAGGATTTATGTTTGATTGTGATGTTACATATTAATCTGACGTGTTCATTAAATATTGTATTATAAAACATAAACTTCTGAGGTCAAAGAGATCATCCTAAGTTCTAAGATTTCATGCAGGTCACCAATTTTTTTTTCTTTTGGACGTACCTTGTGTCGTTGTAGATATCCCATCCTCTCTGTGATAGCGCTCTCCATCTGCACCATCTCATTACGAAGCTTGTTAACTTCCTGTCATAGCAAAGAATAACAATAAATGGTCTTCAGTGCATCATTATCATCATCACAATCATCATCAATACTATTATCAACAACATCATCACCATTATCAATACCATCATCTTTGTCGTCATCATCAATTTTACCTTCATCGTCACCATTATTATCACCATGAACATTCTCTTTCATCATCATAGTCCTCCTCCTCATCCTCCTCCTTACTATCAGTCATCGCCTCTAATACCATAATCCCCATCCTCATCCTCATCCTCATCATTATTGTGATCATCATCACCATCATCAATACCACCACAACCATCATCATCACTATCACCACTACTGCCGCCATCACCACCACCATCACTACCATCATCATCATCATCGTCATCATCATCATCACTACCATCATCATCATAATCATCATCACCACCACCATCACCATCACCATCATCACCACCATCATCATCATCATCATCATCATCATCATCATCACCATCATCATCATCATCATCATCATCACCATCATCATCATCATCATCATCATCATCATCAAACATCATCATCATCATCATCATCATCAAACATCATCATCATCATCAAACATCATCATCATCATCATCATCATCATCAAACATCATCATCATCATCATCATCATCATCATCATCATCATCATCAAACATCATCATCATCATCATCATCAAACATCATCATCATCATCAAACATCATCATCACCATCAAACATCATCAAACATCATCATCATCATCAATACCACCACCACCATCATCATCATCACCACTATTATTATCATCACCAGCACCAACACCACAATCACCAGCACCAGTACCATGATCAACAAAAAAATCATCACCATCACTGCCACCATTACCACCACCAGCACCGCCGCCACCACCACCATCATCATCATAGCGACCAATATTTTCTCACCTTCCTGAGAGTGGCCTCCCCCTCCTGGCAGGCCGTGAAGCGCCTTGTCAGAGCTTTCTCGTTCACCCTCAGTACGGTTACCTTTCTTGTTGCCTCACCAAGTCTTCTCTGCTGCTCGTCACCATTCACCTCCAAGGATTCCAACAAACGCTGCAGGATCAAATAATAAATAATAAATGATAAAAACGGTGCTTTTAAAGCGCTTACCACCTAAGTCTCTAAGCGCTATAGCGAACAAAATACAATGATCAACAATTACAGAGTAAGTTAATCATCAAAAGCAATTTTGAATGAATTTTGAATCAACAACAAGAGATTCAAGCCTTTCTTGTTGCCTCACCAAGCCTTCTCTGCTGCTCGTAACCATTCACCTCCAAGGATTCCAACAAACGCTGCAGGATCAAAAATTAAATAATAAATAATAAAAACAGTGCTTATTGATTGATTTTATTTTATTTATTCATTTCATATAACAATTCTTTGCACAATAAAGAATATAGTTGACAAAGTAAGATCCAAATAATGAAATGAAACAGGAACCTACTAGAAAGCATAGCTTGTTTTTGTAGGTTCCCAAGAATAAATATAATGTGAACATTATCATAAATCATTTTAAAGTGTCTTAATAATCACAGTAAAATAAATATAATATAGTAACATATTTTTGTAAACCATTTTAAAGTATCTAAATAATAAAAAAAATAAACAAAAAGAAAAGAATGACAAAACGGGACACAAAGTGCTTACCACCGAAGTCTCTAAGAGCTATAGCGAACAAAATACAATGATCAACAATTACAGAGTAATTTAATCATCAAAAGCAATTTTGAATAAATTTTGAATCAACAACAAAAGATTCAAGCCCTTTTGAGATGTTTTATTTGTCAAGCCTGGGCCCCATCTTATAAAGAGTCGGATTGATCCCAACCAATCGCAAGTCCTCTGATCAATCGCAAGTTTGCAGTCTCCTATCTCTTATCTATAAAGTTGCGATTGATGTCAACACTTTATAAGACAGGGCCCTGTACGATTGTAAGAATGGGCGGGCCTACTCTCTTCTCAATTTATTTAATTGGATTGCGACAAGTTTTGTTACAACATGGCATAGATTATCATATTTATGCAGACGATATTCAACTTATGATTTCCTTCAATTCAGATCAAGCCGCTGCAGAACAAGCCGTTCATCGCCTTGAATCTTGCATGGCTGATGCTCATGATTGGATGCTCGCACGTTCCTTGAAATTAAATTTAGACAAATGCAAATTCCTTATATTTGGTTCCAAAGTACAGCTTAGTAAAGTTAATATCAATTGCATTTCATTTTCTGGCCACATAATTCACTTGTCACAAATGTGTCGCAATCTCGGTGTTATGTTTGACTCACATATGACAATGTCTGACCAAGTTTCTAATATTTGCAGATCAGTAAGGTACCAATTGCGTAATATCGGTTTTATTCGTAAATATTTGTCTAAGTCTGCCACCGAAAAATTTGTACATGCTCTGATTTCCTCCCGTCTTGATTTTGGCAATGCCCTCCTAATCAATCTACCCCAGAATCTACTGTGCAAACTCCAGAAGCTTCAAAACGCTGCAGCTCGTATTGTTTCTCTGACCACCAAGCGTACCCACATTTCCCCAGTTTTGCAGTCGCTACACTGGCTCCCAGTAAAAGATCGCATTGTTTTCAAAATTTTGTTGCTTACCTTTCATTGCGTTCACGGCTCTGCTCCTCAGTATCTTATCTCTCTAATCCAAAACTACACTCCTGTAAGACCTCTACGCTCATCCACTTCCAATTTTCTTGTGACCCCCAAAATTACCAAAACGTGGGGGAAAGATCATTTGCATACTCCAGTCCTAAATTATGGAACGGCCTTCCTGAAGACATCAAAAAATGTTTATCTTCTGATTCTTTCAAAACTCATCTCAAAACATTCCTTTTCAAGTCTTGATCGTTTTTCCTGTTTACACGCGCCTTGAGCACTCCACAGAGTGGATTTGGCGCGATATAAGTTACATTATTATTATTATAATGACTCAAGGTGAACAGTTATTGTGTTCTTGCCACACACTAACTGTCTTCAGCTGATAATCTCATCAACTCAGCTCTCAATTAACATAAGAAAAAGGGGACCATGGGGGACCAATGGTCACCGATTAGGCATTGTTTGCTATATAGAGGGCGCAAGTAGCTATAAGTAGTGCAATGGGGCTTTAAAAGATTATTCACATACACACATACCATAGATTGTAGTATAAATGTATTCATAAATTGGCAACTTCACAATTAAACCTCATGCTACTTCAGTGTCATCTCTTTCTCATGGTCATCTCTCTTTTTGAAAAGCTCCTGCTGAACTTCGGAACAAACTACCTTTACATGTCAAAAAAATGTCAGACTGTCAACCAATTCAAAACTTGTCTTAAGACACATTTATTCAAAATTGCTTTTGATGATTACCTTACTTACTTGTTCACATTGCTGTATATTTCACATGTATTGTAATTTCTAGGTATATTTGTAATTTTTTGTTTAATATATAATTTTTTGTCATTGTATTTTGTTTGTATAGCGCTTAGAGACTTTGGTGGAAAGCGGTGGAAAGCGCTTGTAAATAAACGTTGTTTTATTATTATTATTATAATAAAATCTGTATAAGAACTTACATTGAATTCTTGGTGTCTCGCTTCATGGCCGTCTGCGGCATCCGTTAGCTTCTGTTTCTCCTCTCGCCAAGCCTTCTCTTGCTGCTGCCAACCATCAACCTACGAAATACATCACAATGACAAATCAGTAATGAGATACCAGCATCAACTTGGCATCACGATGTCATAAGTGCAATTTAATTCATGTCTACATGCATTAGAGTTGCCAAGAGTTACATCTAAACTCTCCAAAACTTCTCTTGCTACTGCCAACCATCAACCTACGGAATACATCACAATGACAAATCAGTAATGAGATACCAGCATCAACTTGGCATCACGATGTCATAAGTGCAATTTAATTCATGTCTACATGCTTTAGAGTTGCCAAGAGTTACATCTAAACTCTCCAAAACTTCTCTTGCTGCTGCCAACCATCAACCTACGGAATACATCACAATGACAAATAAGTAATGAGATATCAGCAAAAAATTGGCATCATGATGTCATAAGTGCAATTTAATTCATGTCTACATGCATTAGAGTTGCCAAGAGTTACAGCTAAACTCTCCAAAACTTCTCTTGCTGCTGCCAACCATCAACCTACGGAATACATCACAAATTTTTCAAAATATCAATATTTGTGGTGGTACACAAGTATTAGAAATCGTTATATTTCAGCCGTCTCTGAACCGATTTTGATCAAACAAGATGATCTGGTCATTTAAATATTATGTTCTTTCAAATTTGACACTCAGTTTTTCATTATCTCACAAAAAAATATTTTGTGTAGCGCCCTCTGCAACAAAACTCAACTATCCCTTTAAATCAGGTAATTGTCAGGCCTAAAGATAGAGACTTACCTTCTGTTGGTATTCTTGATAGAGTAACCCTTGTTGATGCCGAAGCACAGCAAAGCGTCTTCTGTACGTCTGGAGGGCCGTCTCACACTTCCCCAGCTGGTCTTCTCTTACAGACAATTCCTTTTTAACAAATAAACAAACAATTAATGCAGCAATTAAAGAGAAGGTTGAGTTCTGGGAAGAGGTGAAAAATAATATGTGAGCGTTACTCATTCTTATTATGCAAGTGTGGAAGAACATCAGATAAGACATGTTCCCTGAAAAGCATGGCTCTTCAAATGCCTTCATATTCTAAATATGCATGTAACATCGTAAAAATCGGGGTGCCGGCTTTATACGCCACATGTTCGTGTAGTCCCATATACATCTTTCTGTGTACAGTGTTTGTAACTTTACCAAGACTTGGCCAAATTTCTTACCATTTTGATGACTCCAGAACCTTGCATTACACACCATTACTTACATGCTATATGATCAACTTTTCTGATCCATTCCACACCTTTTCTTTCACAATGCAATTGCATTACCAGAACTCAAGTTTATCTTTAATGCAGCAATTAATGCAAATCATCAACAGAATATTCAACTTGAGATAAGACTCTCAAAAAAATATTCTAATGGCCCTGCTCAATGGACTATGTCTTAACAGTTTTGATATTTTATAAACAATGATTTATTAATTTGAAAATGGACAAACAAAAACACAACTTCTTTCACTACAAGCGTTTTTCATGTTAACCATTTTCCAGTTCATTGCTAAATGTTTGTATATTTACCATTTTCTAATATTTGATTGTTTTTTCTTTTGTGCTATACTTAAGGATGAATGGTACAATCATTTCTTTGAAATGCACTGGAAATATTTGCTAAAGCGAAAGCCAAGAAAATAGATGTCTAATCTACTCTGTTCTAAGGATTACGAAAGAACAGAATATTGTAACGATCATCATCAGATCATCACCATCTTCATTATATCACCACCATCATCATCATCATCATCATCATCATCAACATCATCATCATCATCACCATCATCATCGCCATCATCATCACCATTGTCATCGGCATCATATTGTTATCGTTATCTGTATAAGGCATCTCTCCCTCACCTGAAGTGAATGTACAAGCTGTTCATTAAGAGAGGCAATGATCTCCGCACTGGACACAGCTAGACCCTGCGGTAGGGCCATCTGGTGAAGGGTCATGACCCCTGCTCCTTGACCTAGGTCGCGCAGGTCCTTCAAGTCCTGCTGTAGCCTTGTGATCTAAGGATAGATTGAAATATATTTGTATTTTATTTATTTGTATTTTTTGTTACTGCTTTGATGTTTTGATGTAAACATTTAGTTATTTTGATATATTTTTCCCATTTGCTATGATTTTCTTTATTATATATATTCCCTCTGAATGCTTTTTTTTTTTTTTTTTATATCATTGTATGTTTGATGTTAACTCACAATTTTAGTCTTTGGACTTTTTGACGAGATTGAATAAAACCTAATTGAATTAAATGGATATGATTGTGTTGTGTAATCGTAAACCACCAGTATAAAAAAGACTTAACTAAAGTGTAAGTGGAAAGCATTGAACAGGCCACGTAAAATGTTAAAAAAGAAATTTACAAACATCCAGGGCCCCGTCTTACAAAGAGTTGATATCACCCGCAACTTATTTGCAATTGATATCAATCGCAACTATGTACAAAAGAAATAGGAGACTGAAAACTTGCGATTGATTGGAGGACTTGCGATTGATCCAAATCAATCGCAACTCTTTGTAAGATGGTGCCCTGTTTGATACAATTGAAAGCTGTTTCCCTTCAGGAAGGCTAGTGCATGTTTGATAATGACACTAAACAGAATCATTTTCTTTTGTGAATATGAATAGTAATGATATGTTTATAAGATTATTATTATGACCTTTCAAAACAAAAATGATAAAATCAATATACCACAACAAATATGATAAAATCAATATATCCAATCCTATTAAATCGGCTAAATGAACACTGCATACGTTCAAGGAACATGTAGGTGTAATATTTAAAGCCTGTCTGCACTAGTTTGGCCAGGGGGAATACACCTCCCTGCAAGGTCACTGACAGGTGGCTATCTCGTTAACTCAGCTCTCAATAAACATAAGTAAAAGAGGATCATGGGGGACTAACGTGCACCGCTTAGGCATTGTTTTCTATATAGAGGGAGCAAGTAGCTACAAGTAGTACAATGGGGCTTTAACAACACAGTATTATTTCTTCTTTATATAATGTACCTTAGTCTCTGCTCTATCCAGTGCCACACTGGTCTTCTCTGCTTCATTCCTCGCCTGCCTCAGCTCTCTTCTCAGTTCTTCATTTCTTCCAGTCAGCTGATCAACTTGTGCTTTCAGGTAAACCTGAGCTTCGTAAGACTCCTTAGAATCTTTAGATTCAAACAGCTGAAAATATAAAGGTATAGTAATAATGAATCACTTTCGGGTAAACCTCGATCCTCCTTCCTATTTAAAAAAAAAACAGGATGCTAAACATGTTTTTTATTTTTATTTGGCCTAATAACGATGCACTTTCAGGTAAACCTGAGCTTCGTAAGACTCCTTAGAATCTTTATGACTCAAACAGCTGAAAATATAAAGGTATAGTAATAATTATGCAGGAATTAAAACTCAAATATAATATCCACTCATCTACCAGCCCCTCCTGTACATTTCATTCTCAGCTTGTCTGAGTTCTGTATTAAGTTATTAATTCCTTCCTAATTGTGCCTTCAGGTAAAGCAGGGGGGGGGGGGCATTTCACAAAACTTGTCATCAGTGACAAATGACAATTTATGTTATAAGCTACTGAAATCCTTGCTTCTGATTGGTTATCAGCAGATTTGTCACTGATTTTTGTCATTTGTCATTGAAAAAAGGCTTTGTGAAACGGCTCCCTGGGCTTCATATGCTCACCTAGAGTCTTTTGGTTCAAACAGCTACAAAGATATTGTTTAAAAAAAATATATAGGAAGTGTTTCAAAATAATCTAAAAACATATCTGTTTAATTGGGCATATAATTAATTGTTCTATCATTTTTGTATGTTCAATCTAACTTCTGTTACTTCGTTTAACAAACAAACTTCGCTGTATGAGTATGACGATATGTTTGATGATGGACCACTGACTGTTGGAAAACACATTGTGTTATCAGTCATCCTTTCATCCTTCTCTTCGAACCATTCTACCCTTAGATTTAAAGTGACTCGGTAACATTGCCTCAGATTCTGAAACAAAATCCTGCATTTAGCTCATGCTGCAATCATAATTATAAACCTTTAGGTCAATCAGGAATCCCATGATTTTTACAAGCCGATCGCCTGTCTAATTATCAAGATATTTATGATTGAAAATCAAAGTTTCATTTTTCGTTTTCCTAACAGTTTTTATAACACTACAGTCTATTGGAGAAAATGAGTATGGTAAAACCGGTCACTCAAAGATTCTTACTTTTTTGATGCGCTTCATGATCATTTTGAAGCGCTTTTTTTTTTTTAAGGGCTTCAATATTACACCATATCACAGATGCTGAAGACACTTAGCGCTATGCATCTCATATTTAGCATTGTTAAACGATGCCTTTAAAGACCGTCAATACTACTGGGCCTGGAGGGTGTTTCATAAAGCTGTTCGTAAAGTTACGCATGACTTTACGAACAACTTGTAAATGAAGTGCCAGATAGGATGCCCAAAATTTGTTCTGATATTTTCAATAACCTCAATTGAATCATGGCAAAAAATATACTTTGCAATAAAAATGTTTGTTATCATAAGAATGTTAATCTACATCTGCACAGTTCAATTTTATTTGATATATTTAATAATGATTGAGCATCCCATTTGGCTTTTCATATACAAGTCGTCCGTAAAGTCATGCGTAACTTTACAAATTCTTTATGAAACACCCCCCAGAAGGGATTAGACCACCCAGCCAGGTCACTGATAGGTGGCTATCTTATCAACTCAGCTCTCAACTAACATAAGAAAAAGAGGATCATGGAGGACCAACAGGCACTGATTGGGGAATTTTTCTATATAGAGGGAGCAAGTAGCTACAAGTAGGACAGTGGGGCTTAAGACTCACCAAGCACAGCCTCTCAAGGGTCGGCCCCAAGACCTCTGGATCCACCCCTCCACCACCTCCTCCTCCGCCTCCTGCCTGCCCCTCCTTCAGGGCCTGGAGAATCTCCTTCATGCTCTTCTCCACCCGTTGATTGTCGTTGGTGAGCTTCTTGTTCTCCGCTTTCATCTCGGTGAGCTGGGTGCGTAGCCTCTCCATGGACTGCTCTGACCGGGCCACCTCCTGCTCTAGCTGGTGGGTCTAGGATGGGAGAATATAGTCAATGATCAGTTATGCCGAGTGCATTGACGAGCATCGTGCAGGAGAAAGTTTGCAATCTTCTCCTTTGACATGATGGGTCTAGTAAGGGAGAATATAGTCAATGATCAGTTATGCCGAGTGCATTGATGTGCATCGTGCAGGAGAAAGTTTGCTATCTTCTCCTATGAGCTGATGGGTCTAGTAAGGGAGAATATAGTCAATGATCAGTTATGCCGAGTGCATTGATGTGCATCGTGCAGGAGAAAGTTTGCAATCTTCTCCTATGAGCTGATGGGTCTAGTAAGGGAGAATATAGTCAATGATCAGTTATGCCGAGTGCATTGACGTGCATCGTGCAGGAGAAAGCTTGCAATCTTCTCCTAGTATGAGCTGATGGGTCTAGTAAGGGAGAATATAGTCAATGATCAGTTATGCCGAGTGAATTGACGTGCATCGTGCAGGAGAAAGTTTGCAAGCTTCTCCTATGAGCTGGTGGGTCTAGTAAGGGAGAATATAGCCAACGATCAGGAATGCTCCAACATTAACTCCATGGGCAATTGCTGCGGGCTTTATCTCGTAAAAGTACAAAAGGAAAAGGGGTCAGGGTAAAGATTGCAATTGGGGTTATGTTAGGTTCATGTATACCCACACTTGGTGACAGAGCCAATTGCCACTCCCAAACTGTGGAATATTAAACCTAACCATATTTTTTTGGCAACCAGCAATCTCGCAATACCTTAAAAGAATATCTCAGAACTCACCTATTCTGTAAATATAATTGTAAAGCGCAATTGAAGATGTATATGGAAAATGCGCTATATGAATACATTATTTTATCATTACTATCAATGTTTGCCCCAAGATTGAAGTTTGGGATGCATAGGAAAGATCAATTATGGAGCACAAAGCCTATTTCCAAAAACAAATAACAAAAAATCAGTGACAAATCTGTTGCTAACCAATCAGAATCAAGGATTTCAGTAGCTTATAACACAAATTGTCATATGTCACTGACAAGTTTTGTGATACGCCCCCCTGCTCTAAGCTTTTTGACCACTAGACGAAAGTCAAGGTATGCTTTAGGTCCTCCTTCTTACTTTCATTATATTTCTTTCTGTTTTTCCCCTTTTCTTCCTTTTTTTCTCATAATGTCACTATGAATTGCAGCTCCTAGTGAACAGAAAGCACATGGATTTTGCTCCGATTCATATTGAATACGAAGGAAGAACGTACCTCGCCCTTCTACTGGTAAATGGAAAATAAACTGGGGGTGTTTGATAAAGCTGTTCATAAAGTTACGCTGACTTTAAAAACGACTCGTATACGAAGTGCCAGATAGGACGCCCAAAGATTTTACTGATGCTTTGACAAAGTGTGGCTATATTTCCAATAACCTCAATCAGATTATGGCAAAGAAGTTACTTTGCATTAAAAATGTTTGTTGTGATAAGAATGTTAATCTACATCTGCAAGGTTAAACTTTAGTTGATGCAGTTAATAACGATTGAGCATCCCATTTGGCTTTTCATATTGAAGTCATTCGTGAAGTTATGCGTAACTATACAAACAGCTTTATGAAACACTCCCCTGGGGGGCGTTTCACAAAACTTGTCATCATTAACAAATGACATTTTTTGTTATTAGCTACTCAAATCCTTGCTTCTGATTGGTTATCAGCAGATTTGTCACTGGTTTTTGTCATTTGTCATTGAAAAAAAGGCTTTGTGAAACGGGTCCCTGGTTTTTTACCCTAACTCTGACTGAATCTGAAGGTCCCAGGCCTTTGTCTTTGAGGGCTTCAGCAGCCTTTGAAGGAGCACTGCCCGGCTTGCGGCTATTCTTCAGCTCCTCGGCAAAGTCATCGACAGCCAACATCTCATCAGATGTGAGACCTAGAGCAACACCCCTGGTAGGAGTGGAAGAAAAATGGTGATCATCAAAAACTGTTGAGGTTTATTTGAGCCACATTTACATCAAAACACAATTTTGTTTTCTTCTTTTAATATAAGCGCATAATCGTAGATTACACACAACAAAAATTAAAGATTTCAAATCAAGTATAATGTGCGGAAAATAGGTACAAAGTTCTGAAATATATAGTTATGGACATCACACTTATCACCATCTTCATAATATCACCATCATCATCATCATCATCATCATCATCATCATCATCTTCATTTTATCACCATCATCATCATCATCATCAACATCATCTTAATTATATCACCATCATCATCATTTTATCATCATCCTCATTATCATCACACTTATCACCATCTTCATAATATCACCATCATCATCATCATCATCATCATCATCATCATCTTCATTTTATCACCATCATCATCATCATCATCATCATCAACATCATCATACCATTATCATCACTATCACCACCATCATCATCATTTATATAATCATTAACACTATAATCACCAACATCATCATCATCATCATCTTCATTGTCATGAACATCATCATCATCTTCATCGTCATCACCATCTTCATAATATCACCATCATCATCACCATCATCATCATCATCATCATCATCAACATCATCTTAATTATATCACCATCATCATCATTTTATCATCATCCTCATTATCATCACACTTATCACCATCTTCATAATATCACCATCATCATCATCATCATCACCAACATCATCATCATCATCATCTTCATTGTCATGAACATCATCATCATCTTCATCGTCATCATCATCTTCATCATCAACATAATCATGACTATCATCATACCATTATAATCACTATCACCATCATCATCATTTATATCTTCATTACCACCAACATCATCACCATCATCATCATCATCATCATCATTTTCATCATCAACATAGTCATCACTGTCATCATACCATTGTAATCACTATCACAATCATCATCATTTATATCTTCATTACCACCACCATCATCATCATCATCATCATCATCATCATCATCATCATCAACATAGTCATCACTATCATCATACCATTATAATCACTATCACCATCATCATCATTCATATCTTCATTACCACCAACATCATCATCATAATCATCATCATCAACATCATCATCATCATCATCATCATCATCACCATCACCATCACCATCATCATCATCATCATCATCAACAACATCATCATCATCATCATCAACATAGTCATCACTATCATCATACCATTATAATCACTATCACCATCATTTATATCTTCATTACCACCAACATCATCATCATCATCATCATCATCATCATCGGTAAAATTAACATCATAATCCTTACCTCTGTGCTCTTTGCGTTGCTAAGGCTCTGATCTGCTTCTTAAGAGTAACCCTCTCTTCTTCCAGTCTCTCCACCTCTTTGGCCAAAACCTAGAGCATGATGAGAGTTTTCAGAAAGTCAGGTGTAATAGTACCTGCTTTTTATCCTTTTTCATTCATCTACAAGGGTCAACTAGGGTATTGGGGAATCCCCTCCCCTCTTCCTCCACTCCAGAAAGATCCTTCCTCATTTATATTCCTCTCATGTTAAAAAGGATTCAGAAAAGAGTATGACTGATATCCTCAAAATTCCAACGCATTCTCTTAATATACTGTAAATCTATTCAGACTACTCTAACTTTTAGGTTAAATGGTATTTATTCTTTCATGTAACAATATGTAGAAGAGATTACATCTACAGCAACCCCTGTATTCAAAGTCTACCATACCTGATTCAGCGCCCTGTCTTGTTGATGTTGCTGCCCTCTATAAAGACGAGCCTGCTCCATATCAATGGGTTGCTTAGGATCGAATCCCAGCCTGCTTCTCAATTCTTCATTTTCTTCTAACGGTTCATTCATTCACAGTAAATATAGTAGATATAACAATTCAAGAAACACCTGTATTTAAAGTCTATAATACCTGATTCAGCGCCCTGTCTTGTTGGTGTTGCTGCCCTCTATAAAGACGAGCCTGCTCCATATCGATGGGTTGCTTAGGATCGAATCCCAGCCTGCTTCTCAATTCTTCATTCTCTTCCAGGAGTTCGTTCAGCTGGATCTCGGCTTTATTCACATTCTGTGTCAGCTGCTCAATATTTCTAATGGAGGAAGAAAGAGGTAGAGGTAGAGTTGTCGTGGACGAGTGGATATGTCACCGGATCACAAGGTCCATGGTTCAAGTCCCACCACGGCACTAATGTCCTTTGGCAAGATATTGATCTACATTTGCCACTCTCCACCCAGGTGTGAAATGGGTACCCGGTAGGATGCGAAAGCTAATGTGCTTAGATTAGCAAGTGTGCGCATGTAAAAATGATGCCTGGCTGGAATGTTCCCCAGGGAGTGGAGAATGTGCATACATTGTGTGCAGGCAAGCCTGAATCCAATGAACGGGGTAATAATATTTATTATTGTATTACTGTAAAGTGCTTTGAGAGGGCCTTCGGTCCTGAAAAGCGCTATATACATGTAAGAACTAGCTATTATTATTATAGTATTTGCTCATTAACAAATTCAGATTCAGGTTTGGACTCAAAACATGTGTATTTCCTTCTTGTAATAAATTAATATACAGTGAAACCTGTCTGTAAAGACCACCCAAGTGAGACAAGAGAAGTGGTCTTTATAGGCAGGTGGTCTTTGTAGACAGGTGGTCACTAAAGCAGGTTTGACTGTAACATTCATGTTGAAATTTAAACATGACGAAGACTCCATTTGACTTTCACTACTCCTAGAGCTAAGCTTAAAGTAAACACTAGCGCTGTACAATGAATGTAACCCCCGAAAGTGGGGTAGTAATACCCCACCTGATTTACATAGTGGTGGGGTATAGTTTTAACGAGATCTTTTCGTAATGATATATAGAAGAGGGATTCAAGCTTACTCAAAGCACAACACTTGTGAAAACAGCATTCAAATGATTTTGAACAATTAAAATTGTTGTTAAATATTCACAGCATAATTTTTCTCGACTGTATGAATGATATGAAATGGATATATAGAGGGATAAAATCATAAAGCAGCTATGTTCCAAATTAAATCTGAATACAGTAGTGAAATAACATGTACTTATTAGTTAGAAGTAATTATATTATATTAATACATTACATTCAGAGTGAATTATGCTGGAGGCTGGAAATATTACATTTAATCATATCTGAATGAACTTTAAATAATAATAATAATAATAATAATGGTAGAAATATTAATGACGATTAACTTAATTTTCATAAAAAGTCAAATCCTACATTTCATTATGATAATAGACCAGTTCAAGGTTAGCACATGTCCCAAATGACCCTGAATATCCACAGATCTTCAAACCATGAAGAGGTCCCACTTTGTACATTTTGAAATAATCACTCCTAACAGCGATGGAGGTGCTACATAAATATCCTTTGTTTCCCTTTTCAAAGAATACTTCCACACCTGTGTATCATGGAGTGCACTGCTTGTGCATAAATGAATAATGATTACATAACTTTCATGAGCACATATCCAGTATATTGTCTCCGTGTATTTCACAATTTGTTCTGCAATGACCTTTATCTGCTCATGCTCAGACTGCAACCGTTAACTGGCTTATTAGATATCTATGACATGAATAACCTGTCTCGTAGTGCTATTTGTTTCTTTCCAAGTTTAATCTCCTGTACAGCTTCAGCCAATCCATACTCGCCCTGAAATTTAAAACAAAATGCGGGAAGACACCTCTCGTCAACTTGATCTCTCAATTAATAATATGGAATTAATTTCCAGCTCTACATAAAATAAATGCAAATTCATTCAGAAATGTACAGAAGCAAACATTCAAGCAATTTTACGTGATTTATAAATAATTGCATGTGATGCACCACAAAACATACCAGGTAAACTTTAGTTGGCTGTATAGTCGATTGGTTTGAGATAGAAAGGCAACTTTTAAAAGAATCACTAAAGAAAATTCACTACAACTGATAATTATGGACAAATTATATATAGATTGAAAGATTTTCTATGGAAGAACAAGAATAACTTGCTGAAAAATCATATAGATATCATGGAAAGGAGTAAAATGCAATTTTTCAAGACCCGTCTCAGACCCCTGAATGTGAGCCAAACACAGGAGCGTAGCGAGCTCTGAATTGTGACGTCACATTCTAGACAAACACACAGCCAGCTACTCAGTAGTTGACTTGTTAACCTATAATATCTATGGCTAATTGCTCTTCACTGTTTTGTTGCTCTTTCGCATTATTTGACATTTCATTAAGGAGTGTGTCATCTTGAAACGTTATCGAAAACATTTGCAGGACTATTTACTCTTTATGAAGGAATTATAGGCTATATATGTCATTAAGAATAAATTCAGACTAGATTTTCGTGTTTGAAAACTTGATCCAGCTTATAGCAGGGCCTGTGGAGCTCCGGGGAGCTGATGTTGCACGTTTCGTTACCTACTCTAAAACTTACGGCACTTGTTCACTGATGTGACCACACTTTGGATCTGTAACTCCAGCGTGGACCAAAACACACCAAAAATCATATAAAAATCTTGTTCAAGTAATGGTCATGATTAAAAAGTCATTATCTTTCTTACCTGCTTTGTTTCAATTTTCTTTCCTGTTTTGGAGACATTAGTATATACTTTTTTACAGGTTTCACAGCAAAAAGTGCATACCCACGGTGGGTTGCGGGCACACGCGCCTGCATGAAGTAAATGACTGTCATCTCAGATCCTCATTAAATTCATGCAAGTAATTCACATTATGAATTGATGATGATCATTATGGTCGCTAACTTCATGCACGTGTGCGTGCCTGCCTGAAATCCACCGTCGGTACACACTTTTATTGTGCAGCAGTTTGCCGTGAAACCTCTAAGAAAGTTTATACTAATGTCTAGAAGGTTACCTATTCCTAATCCTTAATATCAAATTAAATATCGCCTATGAATCATTTAATCCAACTAGAAAGTCACCTCTTCATAATCCTTCATTCTGTTGATAGCTTCATTTAGTTCTTTATCTTTTTTTCTCGCATCGGTCTCGGCTTGCTGGACCCTCCCCTCGGCCGCTTTCATCTCTTTCTCTTGCTCTCTCAGGGTCTCTCGCAGCTTGGTCACCATGTTCTGAAGACGCACAGTGGGAGCTGAAAGATCAATGACAGGAGGAAATATCCTAGTACAAAGTCATACAAAAACATCAAGGAGGCGCGATAATAATGATATTTAATAATATTTAATTTTTATATAGCGCTTAATACAAATGTCTCTAAGCACTTTACAAATATACTATTGGCTCAGTTGGTAGAGCAGTGGTCTCGTAATCCGACGACCCGGGTTCGAAACCAAGGCGATGCGCTAGTGCCCTTTGGTAAGGCATTAATCCTCATTATCAGGTCTCTCGGAGAAGACCTAAAGCCGTCGGTCCTCTGGTTGCTTACTAACAAGCATTTATGCTTTCTAATGGGAATTCACATATACACTCCGGGGCCCCAAATCAAATCTGTAGTATATTTTCCAAAAGAAAATCAATTCCTTCTTACGTTTAAAACTTGACTGAAGTAAAGCTCTGTCATATCCCCATAAAGTAACATTAGTTTAAAAGTCTAAATCAATTTAGCGGCTCCAGTTTGGCCCAAAGTACTAGTAGCCTGTGTAACTGTAACTGTAACTGACCTGCTCCGCTGGATGCATCATTCTTCAACATCTCCAGCTCCTCAGCCCTCTCGTCCATCTCCCTCGCCGACTCCTCAAGTTGATGTCTGAGAGCAGTTAATTGGGCCTCTTTCTGTTGCAAAGCCTGCAAATGCAGATAATACATCAAGTAATATCAGTCTCTTTCTGTCCCTGTCTGTCGGTCTCTCTCTCTGCTTGTCCATCTCGGTTTCTTTTCTTCTCTCTCTCTTTCTACCATCCATTCATCTACGTAGAACACACCTGAGATGTCAACTGAGCATCCACTTCCTACAAGGCATAAACACTTTAAAATATATGTATTATCTCTCTTCTCTCCCTCTCTTTCTCTCTCTCTCACTCCTGTTCTTTCCATCACTAACACTTTGATCCATACCTTAGCGAGAGATACGACTGAAGTCTTATCTGTATCCCACTTCTCCCCCCCCCCTTCTCTCTCTCTCTCTCTCTCTTCTCTCTCTCTTCTTTCCCCTCTCTCTCTCTCTCACTCCTGTTCTTTCCATCACTAACCCCTTGATCCATACCTTTGCGAGAGATACGACTGAAGTCTTATCTGTATCAATCCCACTTCTCCCCCCCCCCCCCACCCTCTCTCTCTCTTCTCTCTCTCTCTTCTCTCTGTCTCTTTCTCTTCTCCCCCCTCCCTCTCTCTCTCTCTCACTCCTGTTCTTTCCATCACTAACCCCCTGATCCATACCTTTGCGAGGGATACGACCGAAGTCTTATCTGTATCAATCTCACTGGCGGTGATCTGATCCTTCTGTTGATGTATGATGAGATTCAGACGGTCGATCTCCGCATCTTTCGCTTCCAGTGCAGCCTATGTGTAAAGATAATACAGTCAAACCTGGTTTAGGCACTACCTGTCTACAAAGATCATCTGTCTACAAGGACCATTTTTGAATATTTCCCTTTGAACATGGTTTCTCATTGAAACATGTACTCAACCTGTCTAAAAAGACCACTTTTCTTGTCTCCCTTGGGTGGTCTTTATCGACAGGTTTCACTGTACAATAGCCAATAGCCAAGATCATAATAATTCAATAATTGTAATAGACAGAAATTAGTAGAAGTACCATGATTTGAAAGTTACACATGGTTAGGCTTCCTTTGGGGCATTTTGCAATACATGAGGTTTGAAATGTCACAGACAAATTCACATGACAAAATATCTTTGTTCAATTTAATCACATGAAAAATTTGTGATATTTGTTTCATTTTTCCCAATATATAATTTTGCAGAAATCTGCATAATGACGCAATGTCTAATATCATATGTATTCAGGGAAAAAATTACTTTTTGGGGGCTACTTTTCAAGCTTGCTTCCATGAAAATACCATTCTTTAATTTGTTTTGCATTGAACTCTATGCAAAATTTGGGGGCTCTTTTGGGCATTTCGGGGAGCCCCCGTGTATTTTTTCCCTGTATGTATTGTAGTACATTGAAACTCCCAAATCTTCTACACACAATGATAGGTGGGCATGCCTTGTGAGTATCAACCAAGCACATGATGATCAGCAGATAATTGACTTGGAAATCAAAGCAGTCAACCACAGTAGTTCTGTTCTAGCTTTACATCATGGCCAACTGGACTGAAGGTTCTGAATGCACCAAGACCTTTAGCGATCAAATCAACCAATCAAATTGCTTGTTACATCATCTTGACAACAATGACCTTGATGTTCAATCCCATCATGGACTTAGCCAATCAGAACGATGGATATGAACAAAAATACTACCCTAGGATATCAGATCAGCCCTATAGGATATATGGATCTACATGTAAACACAGAAATGAAGTGGAGATCAATTAACCAATCACATTGCTTGTTACAAAAGTGTAAACTTCACAACAATGTCCTTGATGTTCAGTCCTGTCCCTACATTGGCCAATCACACTGAATGTTCTTGATACACTAATACCAGAAGACATAAATTCAACCAATCAGACTGCTTGTTACATACCTTCCAGACCTCCACCTTGTTATTCAGTTCAGTCATGACATCATCATCACCTTGAAGCTGATTCTGAAGCTTGTCAGATAACTCTTTGATCTGAAATGAATAAGATTTGATTTTGATTAGATTTATTGGTTTCTGCATCTTTTTTCTTTTTTTCATCATACATTTTCATGAACATAATATGGTTTGATACAATATTTTAAGTGTATATAATTTTATACAGATAATAAAACAAAATTAAACAAATATATTGAATGCATAATTAACATACATTAAATGCAGGAGGGCTACAGAAATAAGCAAAGTAGCTTGACGTGCCCGCAGCCCTCAACTTAGATACAACAATAAAAATAAAGAGTGACTTGCAGAGAAGAAAAGGAAAGGGGAGAGAACGAGCGTTGGTAATAATACAATAAATCTCATACATCTGCTGATTGAAAGACAGTGACACCAATTTCATGTACCGTAATGACTAACGATATTCCATGTTTATAATGTAAATCATTAATGACCCTGTCGGAAGTGAAAAATAAGTATATAAGTATAAGTATAATAATTTATTGTCCTTTACAGGAAATTTGTTTTCCACTGGTTACAGAGTATTACAATACAAATATATACATGAAATATTACAAGACAGTGATAAACATGAACATTATGATAAGCATACATAAAAAATGAGATAATATGTGAGTAAGCCACTGTATATATGGCAGTATGGTGGTTGAAGAGATAATATCAGATTCCATTTTACAAAATATGAAGCTAAATTATTTAATATTCATTGATTATTCCATATTAAATCTTAAAATGATAATAAATACATGAATTATTATTATTATTATTATTATTATTATTATTATTATTATTATTATTATTATTGATTACCATTTTCAATAGTATAATTAATACCGGCATCGTTATTATTGTTAAGTTTATTGATGACACATAAGTTGTAGTTACTGGCTCAAACGTTAGTAAATAGTTGGATGCAGTATTCATGGCATATACATTTATATTGATACATTACATGGTAGGTTCATAGTAATCAAACACGTTTTGCTTTGGAATTGAAAAGATGAATGGAGTCGGGGATAAAGGATCTTCGGAAACGTGCACGTTGGGTTCGTGGTGTGCACAGGCGTATTCCAGATCTGTTATAATTGAAGTGCTCATTCAGTGGGTGCGAGGGGTCATGCATTATTTGTTTTACTTTAGAAAGGGCATTTTTCTGATACAGATCTTCTATGGATGTTAGATCGGCTCCTGTGATACGTTTTGCTGCCTTTCTGGGACGTTCGAGTAGTTTCTTGGCAGCAATTTTAGCGTTTGCATAATAGCAAATTAGGTTGAAGGTTAGGACACTCTGAATTAGGGACTTAAAGAACAGTTCTATCAACTTACTATCTACTCTTAAGTTTTTCATTACCCTAATAAAGTATAGTCTCTGGTTGGCTTTCTTTTGGATGTCTACAATGTTCTTAGTCCAATCAAGTGACTTTGAGATAGTAGTACCTAAATACCTGTACTCTGTAACTTGTTCTACAGGAGTATCATTTATCAAAATCGGGGTATGATCGAAGGGGTTTCGGCGGAAATCAATTATGATCTCTTTTGTTTTAGTTACGTTTAGTATTAGGAAGTGGTCATTGCACCATTTAACAAACTCATCTATAACCTTAACGTATGGGTCTACATCTTCAGAAAGATAACCTGTGATTACAGTATCATCCGCATATTTGATGATACTGCACTCTCCTACATTACATAGACAGTCACTTGTGTAGAGGGAGAAGAGCGCGGGGGAGATGACACAGCCCTGGGGCGCCCCTGTATTTACAATTCTTGGACAGGATAAGGCGTTACCTAAGACCACTCTCTGTGGTCTGTCACTTAAAAAACTCTGTATCCACAGACTTAACTGGGGAGGGACTTCCATATCAATGAGTTTGTTTATCAGAAGGTGGGGGATAATAGTGTTGAAAGCACTAGAAAAATCCACGAAAGTGGATCTTACATAGGTCTTAGCCTTGTCTAAATGGGCATATACCTTATGTAGGTATGTTAGTACTGCATCGTCAACTCCTCTCTTACATCTGTATGCAAACTGCATGGGGTCAATGTAGGGGGAAGTGTATTCAAGAAGGTACTTCATCATGATCTTTTCGAAACATTTCATAACACTACAAGTGAGTGAAATGGGTCGAAGGTCATTAAGTTCCTTCACTTTCTTCCCTTTAGGAATTGGTTTTATCAGGGATGTTTTCCAAAGAGTCGGGATATGTCCCTTTTCCAGTGAATGGTTGAAAAGTTCATTAAATACCCCGGCTAACTGATCCCTACAAAGCTTGAGTACTTTGTTACAGATACCGTCAGGCCCTGGGGCTTTATTAGTTTTAAGTGCCCCAAAACATCGCCTAACATCATGTTCAGAGATACAAATTACATTTTCAGATTCACTTAACATTTGCCTTAGTCTGAGTGCAATTACGTCATTTTCAACTGTAAACTTTTTATCATATCTACAATAGAAGTCATTCAGTTCATCGACAAAGTCCTGTGTTATGTCAAATCCCAGAGTCTTGGGCTTTGGTTTATACCCAGTAATCACCTCCATCGTTTTCCAGGCAGCAGCAGGTTTGTTATTTCGAAAGTTATTTTCGAGCTTGTTTTTATAAGACATTTTACAAGAGTCAACTAAGCGTTTAATTTCCCTTTGTACCTCTTTGACACGCGTCTTGTTACCGTTGATGAGTGCACCATTCTTTACCTTCAGCAGGTCCCGGAGTTCCTTTGTAACCCATGGCTTATTGTTGGGAAACATTTTAAACGTTTTAAGGGGTATAATCGAGTCGACACAAAACTTGACATAACTTGTGATAGCATCAGTGGCTTCGTCTAGTGAGCTCGCTGAGTTGAACAATAGATCCCAGTCCGTACAGTCAAAGGCTGCTCGGAGTTCCTCCGTTGAGTCATCAGTCCACGCGTACCGTTGCTTAGTGACGGGTCGGCTTCTTTTCAACTTTTGCTTGTAAGCCGGTAGTAAGCGGATGTTTTGGTGATCGGACTTTCCTAGACGATGACACGGTTTTCCAACGTATGCTTTAGGAATGTTACCATAGCACTTATCTAGGGTAGCTCCATTTCTTGTTGGTATGTCAATATATTGTTCAAACGTGGGAAGTACACCATTCAAGTGACATTGGTTAAAGTCACCCATTATGAATGTAGGGGCATCAGGGGACAACGAAGCATGATGATTTACTTTAGCAGCTAGTAATTCACTGGCAATTTCAACATCAGCCCGGGGGTGAATGTAGACCACAGTAATGAATATCTGGGGAAATTCACGGGGAAGATAGAAAGGTCGGAGTCCCACTGTAATGAGTTCAATATCGGGCAGACAAACGACATCCTTGACATCCCAATTATTACACCACTTTTGGTTGATATATAGACATACGCCTCCTCCTTTGCTTTTCCCTGACTGTTCTGTTCTGTCTCCTCTTACTACATCAAAATGTGGAATATCAATAACATTGTCGGGAATGCTTTCTTTCAACCATGTTTCTGTAAATGCTAATAGACAAGAATCTCGGTATTCGTTCATGTATCTAGAAAGTGTTTCAAGTTCTTCCATCTTATTAGGCAACGAGCGTACATTCCCCAATATTATTGAAGGGAGGGCCGGTTTTGTTCCTCTCTTTCTCAGCCTTGTCCTTATTCCGCCCCTCTTACCTCTCTTACGTGGTTTGATCTCGGGTGGAAAGTCCTCATATCCGAGGGGTCGAGCATCCCCGTGGCGCCGCGTAGGTTGAGTATCTCAGTCCGTGTGTATACAAGGCTATTCAGTTGGTGTTCGACTTTCAGGGCAGAACCAGTCAAAAACACCGATGCGAGGATCAAAAATATCCAAAAGGTAGCCATGGCTAATCTCACAGTTATGGAAAACATGATGAAGGTCAAAGTGCACTCACAAAATAAGACAAAATAGTAACAAATAATCCAAAAGATGGGGAGAACAAATCCAGTGGTGGTCGCCACTGAGCGGCGCCCTAACGAGGGAAAACTCGTTTTGGTAAAGGGCCCAAAAATGATATATATGTATATCAACGGAAAGTTAATAATTCATATATTACACTGATATCTAATAATATCTAATATATGCTATTTTAGTGTCTGTCGGAGGAGTAACAGCTCTCTGAAAACTCGAAAATCAGAAGTTATCGATCTAAAAATGAGCTTTCGACTTGATGACATCATCTTATGTGGAGTACGCATAATTCATAATGACTTTGCATTAATTAAGCACAGTTGATAGCCTCAGCTATAAAGGTGAGCTAATCAGATCCAGACGTTATAACGTCACCCTAACTGCGGCACATTTGACTCCTGCTAAGTAAATGAAATTCTACTGGGTGGTATTCTTGAAAGCTGAGGAACTTTAGTCCATGGTTTAATCCCCCCGACTAAGTTTGGAATGCCAAGTGTCCATATGAACATGTTTTTGAATAATAAAATTTGACACTAAATTGAAATAAAATTTAATAACTTAATTAATAAACAACAATATAACTATGAAATACTTATGTTATCATGGTTATTTAGGGACCTATCAAATTATTCAGAAATATACTCATATGGACACTTGGCATTCCATACTTGGTCGGAGGATTAAACCATGGACTTCTTTTAAGAGCAACCTTAAATTCCATTTGTTTAATCTCGCTTTTTGAAGACAGATATTCACTCATTCTTTCATTTTGCATTTTCTTTCTAATGTAAATGTACACGATTCTTTGTCATGATGTAATGTGTTCCCTAATTTTTTTTGAAGCGCCTTGAGCATTTAATCAAAATGGATAACGGCGCTATATAAATCTCATGTAATATTATTATCATTAAAGTTAGTCCGCTTGCGAGAATACCACACAGTGTGGCTATGCTAGGTGGTGAATCCAACCATGCACTGTCCTTTACACGTATTTCATCATCCTAATAGTCACCTGTTCTTTGAGCACATCATTCTCCTGCTTAAGGCGGGTAGCTTTGGAGTCGGACTGTCCGGAGAGTTTCTTAATCTTGACGTAGTCCTCGGCAATGCTGTCCATCTCCTTAGCCGCTTCTTTCAGTTTCTGCTCCATGTCCTTTATTGTCACGGTCAGGAGCTCACTGTGATCGGTCAGATTCTGGATGGGGAGAGAGAGATGGGTCAAGTGGATGTTCATGAAGGTCAGACAGAGGTCAAAGGAAGGTCAGTGGCAGTCAGTTCTACTCAAAAGATTCATTTTCTGCTGCATGTCCTTTATATTCACGGTCAGCAGCTCACTGTGATCGGTCAGATTCTAGATGGGAAGAGAGAGAGAGAGAGAGAGAGAGATGGGTCAAAGTAGGGTCATGAAGGTCAGACAGAGGTCAAAGAAAGGCCAATGGCATTCAGTTCTACTCTAAAGATTCATTTTTTGCTCATTTCCTTTATATTCTCGGTCAGATTCTAGATGGAGAGAGAGATGGGTCAAGTGGATGTTCATAAAGGTCAGGCAGAGGTCAAAGAAAGGTTAGCAGCAGTCAGTTCTACTCAAAAGATTCACTTTCCGCTCCATTTCCTTCAAATACCTTGGTGAGGTAAGCAGATTCTGGGAGAGACGAAGGTTTATGTCAAGTAGGGGTTAAAAAAGAAAAACAAAGCATTGTTCCTCCCCTGGGACTGAATGGAATAATCCACAAACCAGTACCTACAAATTTAAACCTGGTACAATTCACTTAAAGAGAGGGGTGTTTTCAAGCCACAGAGGGGCTAAATTACCTTGATTTCTTCAAGCTGGGAGTTGATCTCCCGGTTCTTCTGCCGAATCTTATCCGAGTACTCCACATCGTCACCGCGGCGCGTCCTCAGGCTCTCACGCTGCGATTCCATCTGTTTCTGGTAATCACGCAGATCGTTACGAAGCGCATCAATCTAGAAAAAAAAATGTGGTAAATATGACTGACTTAGTAACTGTAAGCCCCATTCAGATAAGACGCAGAAAACGGAGGCATTTTTTCTTTGTATGATGACGTTAGTGTATTTAACACAGAGCTCAGTGAAAACCAGTAGACCCTTGTTACCATTAATTTCCCCGCTAAACAAAAAGCCCTAGTTTACCACTTTGTTTCTGAATGAACTTTAAATCAGAATAATAATTATAATAGGAGCAGTATATTAAAATGACATTATCCTAGCTTTTAAAACTATATACAGTCAAACTTGTCTATAGCGGCCACCCAAGGGAAACACAAAAAGTGGCCTTTGTAGACAGGTGGTCTTTGTAGACAGGTTCCTTTATTACATGTTTCAATGAGAATCCATTTTCAAGGGTACCAACAAATGTGGCCTTTGTAGACAGGTGGTCTTTGTAGACAGGTGGTCACTAAAGCAGGTTTGACTGTATTACAACCTATTCAGTAACTGTAGTGTGATTTTTTAAAATTTATTTTTTGTACACTGCAAACTGTAAGAAGGAGAGGAAGGGGGTGGGGGGGGGGGGACCAAAGCAATTTTGCACATGGACAGCCTGCATTATTAAACAGATTTCCTACACTTAACAGTATCCTTCGCCTGGGAGAGTTTGCCCTTAATATTTCATTCCCCCCCCCTCCCCCTTTAAAAGAAAAAGTTCCCCCACACCAATGCTGTTTTAAGAGCTGACAAAAACCCTAGATGCAATGGAAAAGCTTACCTCTCTTTTCATATCTCTGCTTTCCTTTTCGGTTTCCTCTAGTCTTGTGTGTAGCTGTCATAGATAAACAAATACATAAAGAAATCAACCAAATAAAATTACTATATCACCATGAATAAGGCAATAAACTATACAATGATCCATAACGAATATATTCCAAATATGATATTCCTTCTTTGGGTTAAAAAATTGATTGTGGTAACTTCTACAAAGTGAAAAATCAATGAATTACAAAGGTGAGGATTTTCATGAGACAGATGAACCTTTAACAGTGTAAGCCTATTTGGGGAAGGGCAGTTGAACTTAAGAATCGAGTTATTGTAATAATGAGACACAAATTACTTCAGGGGGTGTTTCACAAAAACTAAGATCGACTTTGAGTCAGACTTAACTATGGCAGGCCGTTCATGGTCACAAATCTACAGAATTTGAATTTGTTGATAGTTCATTATTGAAGGACAAAATATTATCTAAAGATCATCATTGAGAGACCAATGGTGAGAGCAACCAGTGACATGAATGGCCTGCCATAGTTAAGTCCAACTTAAAGTAGATCTTAGTCTTCGTGAAACACCCCCCAGGAAACATAGCAGAACATGCACAACTTCAAAAAAGTCAAAATATAGGGAATGGGATACAATCCATATTTTTGTCAGCCTTTTTTTTTTTTTTTTTTTTTTTGGGGGGGGGGGGGGGCGTTTTTGGCTTGCCATACTAAATCAATGCTTTAGAGCTAAGGTCTTAACCACCAAGATGAGTTCTGGCTCATAGATGTCTTTGCATCTTTTATTCTACAGATATTTTACTGGTGTATCTCTACCAGATACCAAATTCAATGACTTTCCATAATTTTTCATGACCAGATAAGTACCATTTTGGTATGGGTAGCAGCATCCAAGAGGCGTATGAATACCATGCCCATTGTCGGTTCAAACTGGAAGGCTGCCATACCCATACATGACCCACAGTACACCCACAATCGACTTTCATCAGGTGGGCTGTATCTAATACAGACCACCTTATATTTTTGTTAAAATCGTCTTTATTAGGTGGGCTGTATCTAATACAGACCACCTTATATTTTTGTTAAAATCGCCTTTCTTTATTATTTATTTTTCTTAATTCTTACCACTTTTTTGTTAGCAAGATAACTTGAAAATGGCTGAATCAAATAAATAAAAATTTGGCACACATATGTATAGGCATATGGACAAAACACGGTAAGGTTTTCAACCTTGACCTTGACTGATGATGTCATCTAGGCGCCATTTTGTGAAATTTTCTGAAAAACAACTCATGATCATATCTTCATAACCAAAAGGTATTTCTCATTCATATTTATCATGATCAAGGTCAATATCTGTCCAGTCAATTTCAGGTCAAAATACGCGCGCGTGCGCGTACGTCTGCGCGTCAGTGCGCGCGCAAAATTTTAAAGTGCTCAAAATCGTCTCAAATATTTTTGGCATACGTTTTAGGCCATTTTAAGCATTTCATAAAAAAATGCGCACACGCGCATGCGCGCGCGTTTTCGCGCGTTACACCATTACACAACATAAAATCGCCTTTTTTTTTTCTTTCATGTTATTTCCCATATTTTTTCGAACAATATGATACCATGTTTATTTCTTTATGACCATTGAGAACAAGATGAGCGTCCATTCAAGATAAATGTCTGTGCGCGCGAGCTCTTGTAATACATAGCATATGTGGGCAAAAACATGCCAATACAAAATCTATTCTAGCTCTTTGGGATGGAACTGGAACCCCAATTTTGTTTCATATTTTGATAGAGAATGATTCGGAAATATGATTTAATGTCTCATTTGGCTATTCAAAATATTATTATAAACATTATAAATATTATAAACATCATCATAATGGCTTTCGAACTAAAAATACGAATTTGCATATTATGAAGTCAGCATATTTATGGAAAATTTATTGTATCTCTGTAAATATTGATCGATTTTCTTCAAAATTTTGATATGTTGTAGCCAAGACAATTTTCTTTAAGCTCAATGTCACCATTTTTCATTTTGATGACGTCATTATAGTGAAAATTTCTATTAAAGGCCTCATGTCAGAAATTTCATAATTTGCGTGTTATGCCTATAGAAGGTGAATTTCGTTCACGTCATGAATCTACATGATATTGTTTTTTAAGAATTTTTAAGCAGTATCTCGCTTATTTTTGCTCTATTTTGTCTCAAATTTTAGTTGACCAGCCCACCTATACTTGTTCTAAACAAGTATTACATGTCTAGTTTATTATTTATTTTTCTTAATTCTACCCACTTTTTTGTTAACAAGATATCTTGAAAATGGTTTAATCAAATGCTTTGATATTTGGCACACATATGTATAGGCATATGGACAAAACACAGTAAGGTTTTCAACCTTGACCTTGACTGATGACGTCATCTAGGCGCCATTTTGTGAAATTTTCTGAAAATAAACTCATGATCATATCTTCATAACCAAAAGGTATTTCTCATTCATATTTATTATGATCAAGGTCAATATCAGTCCAGTCAATTTCAGGTCAAAAAACGCGCGCGTGCGCGTACGTCCGCGCGTCAATGCGCGCGCAAAATTTTTAAATGCTTAAAATCGTCTCAAATTTATTTTGCATACGTTTCAGGTCATTTTAAGCATTTTATAAAAAATCGCGCGTACGAGCATGCGCGCGCGTTTTCGCGCGTAACACCATTAAAAAACATAGAATCGCCATTTTTTTTTCTTTCATGATATTTCTCATATTTTTTCAAGGAATTTGATTCCATGTTTATCTCTTTATGACCATTATTAACAACATGAGCGTAAATTCAAGATAAATGTCAGTGCGCGCGAGGTCTTTTAATACATAGCATATATGGGCAAAAACATGCCTATACAAAATCCGTTATAGCTCTTTGGAATGCACCAGGATCCTCAATTTTTTTTCATATTAAGATAGAGTATGAGTCGGAAATATGATTCCATGTCTCTTTTGGCCATTAAGTGTATCGTGACATCATCACAATGGCCTTGGAACTCAAAATACGAATTTGCATATTATGACGTCAGCATATTTATGTAAAATTGATTGTATCTCTGTAAATATTGATCAATTTTCTTCAAAATTTCGATATGTTGTAGCTAAGACAATTCTCTACAAGCGCAGTAATAACCATTTTTCATTTTGATGACGTCATCATAGTGAAAATTTTGATTAAAGGCCTCATGTCAAAAACTTCATAATTTGCGTGTTATGCCTATAGAAGGTGAATTTAGTTCACGTTATGAATCTACATGATATTGTCTTTTAAGAATTTGTAAGCAGTATGTCGCTTATTTTTGCCTTATTTTGTCTCAAATGTTTGTTGACCAGCCCACCTATACTTGTTCCAAACAAGTATTATATGTCTAGTCAGGTGGGCTGTATCTAATACAGACCACCTTATATTTTTGTTAAAATCGTCTTTATTTATTATTTATTTTTCTTAATTCTACCCACTTTTTTGTTAACAAGATATCTTGAAAATGGTTTAATCAAATGCTTTGATATTTGGCACACATATGTATAGGCATATGGACAAAACACAGTAAGGTTTTCAACCTTGACCTTGACTGATGACGTCATCTAGGCGCCATTTTGTGAAATTTTCTGAAAATAAACTCATGATCATATCTTCATAACCAAAAGGTATTTCTCATTCATATTTATTATGATCAAGGTCAATGTCAGTCCAGTCAATTTCAGGTCAAAAAACGCGCGCGTGCGCGTACGTCCGCGCGTCAATGCGCGCGCAAAATTTTTAAATGCTTAAAATCGTCTCAAATTTATTTTGCATACGTTTCAGGTCATTTTAAGCATTTTATAAAAAATCGCGCGTACGAGCATGCGCGCGCGTTTTCGCGCGTAACACCATTAAAAAACATAGAATCGCCATTTTTTTTTTCTTTCATGATATTTCTCATATTTTTTCAAGGAATTTGATTCCATGTTTATCTCTTTATGACCATTATTAACAAGATGAGCGTAAATTCAAGATAAATGTCAGTGCGCGCGAGGTCTTTTAATACATAGCATATATGGGCAAAAACATGCCTATACAAAATCCGTTATAGCTCTTTGGAATGCACCAGGATCCTCAATTTTTTTTCATATTAAGATAGAGTATGAGTCGGAAATATGATTCCATGTCTCATTTGGCCATTAAGTGTATCGTGACATCATCACAATGGCCTTGGAACTCAAAATACGAATTTGCATATTATGACGTCAGCATATTTATGTAAAATTGATTGTATCTCTGTAAATATTGATCAATTTTCTTCAAAATTTCGATATGTTGTAGCTAAGACAATTCTCTACAAGCGCAGTAATAACCATTTTTCATTTTGATGACGTCATCATAGTGAAAATTTTGATTAAAGGCCTCATGTCAAAAACTTCATAATTTGCGTGTTATGCCTATAGAAGGTGAATTTAGTTCACGTTATGAATCTACATGATATTGTCTTTTAAGAATTTGTAAGCAGTATGTCGCTTATTTTTGCCTTATTTTGTCTCAAATGTTTGTTGACCAGCCCACCTATACTTGTTCCAAACAAGTATTATATGTCTAGTCAGGTGGGCTGTATCTAATACAGACCACCTTATATTTTTGTTAAAATCGTCTTTATCAGGTGGGCTGTATCTATACAGACCACCTTATAATTTTGTTAAAATTGCCTTTATTATTATTTATTTATTTTATTTCTAACCACTTTTTTGTTAACAAGATAACTTGAAAATGGCTAAATCAAATAACTTGAAATTTGGCACACATATGTATAGGCATATGGACAAAACACAGTAAGGTTTTCAACCTTGACCTTGACTGATGACGTCATCTAGGCGCCATTTTGTGGAATTTTCTGAAAATTTACTTATGATCATATTTTCATAACGGTAAGTTATTTCTCATTCATATTTTCCATGATCAAGGTCAATATCAGTCCAGTCAATTTCAGGTCAAAAAACGCGCGCGTGCGCGTAAGTCCGCGCGTCAATGCGCGCGCAAAATTTTTAAATGCTCAAAATCGTCTCAAATTTATTTTGCATACGTTTCAGGTCATTTAAAGCATTTTATAAAAAATCGCGCGTACGAGCATGCGCGCGCGTTTTCGCGCGTAACACCATTAAAAAACATAGAATCGCCATTTTTTTTTCTTTCATGATATTTCTCATATTTTTTCAAGGAATTTGATTCCATGTTTATCTCTTTATGACCATTATTAACAAGATGAGCGTAAATTCAAGATAAATGTCAGTGCGCGCGAGGTCTTTTAATACATAGCATATATGGGCAAAAACATGCCTATACAAAATCCGTTATAGCTCTTTGGAATGCACCGGGATCCTCAATTTTTTTTCATATTAAGATAGAGTATGAGTCGGAAATATGATTCCATGTCTCATTTGGCCATTAAGTTTATCGTGACATCATCACAATGGCCTTGGAACTCAAAATACGAATTTGCATATTATGACGTCAGCATATTTATGTAAAATTGATTGTATCTCTGTAAATATTGATCAATTTTCTTTAAAATTTCGATATGTTGTAGCTAAGACAATTCTCTACAAGCGCAGTAATAACCATTTTTCATTTTGATGACGTCATCATAGTGAAAATTTTGATTAAAGGCCTCATGTCAAAAACTTCATAATTTACGTGTTATGCCTATAGAAGGTGAATTTAGTTCACGTTATGAATCTACATGATATTGTCTTTTAAGAATTTGTAAGCAGTATGTCGCTTATTTTTGCTCTATTTTGTCTCAAATGTTAGTTGACCAGCCCACCTATACTTGTTCCAAACAAGTATTATATGTCTAGTCAGGTGGGCTGTATCTATACAGACCACCTTATAATTTTGTTAAAATTGCCTTTATTATTATTTATTTATTTTATTTCTAACCACTTTTTTGTTAACAAGATATCTTGAAAATGGTTCAATCAAATGCCTTGAAATTTGGCACACATATGTATAGGCATATGGACAAAACACGGTAAGGTTTTCAACCTTGACCTTGACTGATGACGTCATCTAGGCGCCATTTTGTGAAATTTTCTGAAAATCAACTCATGATCATATCTTCATAACCAAAAGGTATTTCTCATTCATATTTATTATGATCAAGGTCAATATCAGTCCGGTCAATTTCATGTCAAAAAACGCGCGCACGCGCGTACGTCCGCGCGTCCTTGCGCGCGCAAAATTTGTAAATGCTCAAAATCGTCTCAAATTTATTTTGCATACGTTCTAGGTCATTTTAAGCATTTTATAAAAATCGCGCGTACGAGCATGCGCGCGCGTTTTCGCGCGTAACACCATTAAAAACATAGAATCGCCATTTTTTTTTCTTTCATGATATTTCTCATATTTTTTCAAGGAATTTGATACCATGTTTATCTCTTTATGACCATTATTAACAAGATGAGCGTAAATTCAAGATAAATGTCAGTGCGCGCGAGCTCTTTTAATACATAGCATATATGGGCAAAAACATGCCTATACAAAATCCGTTATAGCACTTTGGAATGCACCGGGATCCTCAAATTTTGTTCATATTTAGATAGAGTATGAGTCGGAAATATGATTCCATGTCTCATTTGGCCATTAAGTGTATCTTGACATCATCACAATGGCCTTGGAACTCAAAATACGAATTTGCATATTATGACGTCAGCATATTTATGTAAAATCGATTGTATCTCTGTAAATATTGATTAACTTTCTTCAAAATTTCGATATGTTGTAGCTAAGACAATTCTCTACAAGCGCAGTAATAACCATTTTTCATTTTGATGACGTCATCATAGTGAAAATTTTGATTAAAGGCCTCATGTCAAAAACTTCAGAATTTGCGTGTTATGCCTATAGAAGGTGAATTTAGTTCACGTTATGAATCTACATGATATTGTTTTTTAAGAATTTGTAAGCAGTATGTCGCTTATTTTTGCTCTATTTTGTCTCAAATTTTAGTTGACCAGCCCACCTATACTTGTTCCAAACAAGTATTATATGTCTAGTTTATTATTTATTTTTCTTAATTCTACCCACTTTTTTGTTAACAAGATATCTTGAAAATGGTTTAATCAAATGCTTTGATATTTGGCACACATATGTATAGGCATATGGACAAAACACAGTAAGGTTTTCAACCTTGACCTTGACTGATGACGTCATCTAGGCGCCATTTTGTGAAATTTTCTGAAAATAAACTCATGATCATATCTTCATAACCAAAAGGTATTTCTCATTCATATTTATTATGATCAAGGTCAATGTCAGTCCAGTCAATTTCAGGTCAAAAAACGCGCGCGTGCGCGTACGTCCGCGCGTCAATGCGCGCGCAAAATTTTTAAATGCTTAAAATCGTCTCAAATTTATTTTGCATACGTTTCAGGTCATTTTAAGCATTTTATAAAAAATCGCGCGTACGAGCATGCGCGCGCGCGTTTTCGCGCGTAACACCATTAAAAAACATAGAATCGCCATTTTTTTTTCTTTCATGATATTTCTCATATTTTTTCAAGGAATTTGATTCCATGTTTATCTCTTTATGACCATTATTAACAAGATGAGCGTAAATTCAAGATAAATGTCAGTGCGCGCGAGGTCTTTTAATACATAGCATATATGGGCAAAAACATGCCTATACAAAATCCGTTATAGCTCTTTGGAATGCACCAGGATCCTCAATTTTTTTTCATATTAAGATAGAGTATGAGTCGGAAATATGATTCCATGTCTCATTTGGCCATTAAGTGTATCGTGACATCATCACAATGGCCTTGGAACTCAAAATACGAATTTGCATATTATGACGTCAGCATATTTATGTAAAATTGATTGTATCTCTGTAAATATTGATCAATTTTCTTCAAAATTTCGATATGTTGTAGCTAAGACAATTCTCTACAAGCGCAGTAATAACCATTTTTCATTTTGATGACGTCATCATAGTGAAAATTTTGATTAAAGGCCTCATGTCAAAAACTTCATAATTTGCGTGTTATGCCTATAGAAGGTGAATTTAGTTCACGTTATGAATCTACATGATATTGTCTTTTAAGAATTTGTAAGCAGTATGTCGCTTATTTTTGCCCTATTTTGTCTCAAATGTTAGTTGACCAGCCCACCTATACTTGTTCCAAACAAGTATTATATGTCTAGTTACTTTTCATTCCTTTCCATTCCTTTTGAGAAGAATTCGTTTTTTGCTATGACTTTCCAGTCCTTTCCGTTACTTTGCATTCCTTTGCATTCCTTTGCATTCCTTTGCATTCCTTTGCATTACTTTGCATTCCTTTGCATTCCTTTGCATTCCTTTGCATTCCTTTCCATTCCTTTCCATTCCTTTGCATTCCTTTGCATTCCTTTGCATTCCTTTCCAGTCCTTTCCATTACTTTCCATTCCTTTCCATTCCTTTCCATTACTTTTCATTCCTTTCCATTCCTTTTGAGAAGAATTAGTTTTTTGCCATGACATTCCAGTTTTTTTCCATGACCTTTGATACCCTGTCTTTAACATGATGTTGACCACCAAGGACTGGTCACTCTGCAAAGAAAAAGATCTCTCCAACTCACCCTCTCTGCTTCAGACTTCTCCTTGTAAAGATCCCTCTCTTTCTCCTTGAGCTCCCTCTGGAGCAGATCCCCCTGCCTGCTGAGTTCATGGACCTCATTCTGGAGCTGACGGGTGTCTCTGGATCCCCCGGCTCCTCCCATGCGCTGGAAAACAGAACAAACATTGAACATTAATACCTGAGGTACACCGACAAGACCGGCACCAGGAAGGTGTTTCACAAAGACCTTAAGTTGAACTTATCTCTAAGTTGGACTTAAAAATTATGGGAAGCCGTTAGTGTCTATGAAAATTTAAAAAAAAGTTATTTTAAAAGGCATAAAATGTTGATTCAAATCATTCATATCTTCTCTTATCCTGAAAGATTTCATGTTTTTGATGTGGAATTTATGAAAAGTCTAAAATACATAAATTTTTGCTTTTGAATATATTTCATTATAAGGCTACAAATGGCTCTCCATAATATTTAAGTCCAACTTAGAGTTAAGTTCGACTTAGAATCTTTGTGAAACGCCCCTCAGACCGACCCAAAATATTGCATTACCCTTAACATGGCAGAAAATAAGTCAGTCTGAAGTCGGTTTGGCGGTGTGTCTGGGGTATAAAACTAAATTTACTGGCATAATTTATAATGATCGAGACTCATTAAAATGTGCATAACATCGTTGCCTGCCCACAAGAAGAGCATTACTGCCAATGATAATGAATATGGTGGCCCTTACATTTTACTATTTGCGGGCAGCAGACATATATGCTTGAGTTTTTTAAAAACTCATATCCTGCCTTAAGGCCGCATCCACGCTACCATTATAGTGCTTTGTACACGCGAGCACACTATCGATTGGCTGCTCAATTCACGCGAGCGAGCCACAGCTTCGCTGCTTTATGCATGCATGCTCACATTCGTAATAGCAGTTATTGTTCATGCTCATTGTACTGTGCTGGGTGCTTCGCACGCACTATTGATCGCACCATTAGATTATCAGATTATCTCAAAATAAACTTGGCACAGGGGGGATTTGTGGCATGTGTGGAGCACACACTGTGTATTCGTTGGAAGTTTGGTGGCATCTTGATAAGCTCAGTTGTACACTATCTAAAGGGAAACCTTCTGCTGTATTCATTGCAAAGTGTTAGTAAAGTTTTTACCTCTAATCTCTTATTTTCCTCCTCCAGCTCTCTGATCTGGTCGATTAATCCTTGTTCTGTAATTTAAAAAAAATAAGAAAATTAAGAAAAAAATACTCTCACAAAAAAAAACTGCATTGTAACTTTCTATGCACAATTTCCTCCTTCTTCTTCTCGAGATATAAGTTCAGTTTCCAATAAAACACAAATATTAATCATTTAATGTGGTAAGCAAATGAATACTAGATGTATCATGAAGGAAACCTTTAAAAGTAAAGCTTGTAATTCAGGTTTCCTATTCTAAATATCATAATATCATTTAAAGGCATTGTTTATCAATGTCTCCAGTTTTACAAATCTGAGACGCATGGCCCTACATGTTATCAGTGTCTGTGATATGGTGTAATAGCCCTACAAAAATTGCGCTTCAAAATGATCACAAAGTGCTTCAAAAAAGTAAAAATCTTTGAGTGACCAGTTTTACCATACTCATTTTCCCCAATAGACTGTAGTGTTTAATAAACTGTTCAAAACTGTTTGGCAAACAGTTTTTGACATTTCTAATTCCAATCATAAATATCTTGATAATCAGGCGATCGGCTTGTAAAAGTCAGGGGATTCCTGACTGACCTAAAGGTTTATAATTATGATTGCAGCATGAGCTAAATGCAAGATTTTGTTTAGAATCAGAGGCAAAGATACCCAATCCCTTTAATAAAAACAACAACAAATACATGAAGGATATAAACCCCACCCAACGATACTTAGGAAAAAAAAAAAAAATTATTTTTCGGGGCTACTTTTCAAGCTTGCCTGCATGAAAATAACATTCTAAAATTTGTTTTGCATTGAACTCAATGCAAATTTATGGTGCTCTTTTCTGATTTTCGGGGGCTCTTTGGGGGCATTTCGGGGGCTAAATCGCCCCGAGCCCCCATGTATTTTTTTTTTCACTGACCACAAGGAATGGGACCTCTTTTGAAAATGACCCACCATTCATGACACCTTCCTTGCCCTGTTCAGTGGCTAGCTGCTCAAGCTCCTCGAGGGCAACGTTAGCTTGGGCAGACTTCATCAGCATGATGGCCCTAGTCACATCAAACAGCTGCTGCCATTGCTCATCATCCTTAGCATCAGCCTGGTCAACCTAAAATTAACCAATCACATGATTGCTTATATAGGTGTAGAACCAATCAAGTCATATCAAAGATATATTTTGAACCCATGAAATCATTATCTTTCATAGGTAGGGCTTGAATATTCAGGGGTACTACAAGTCAAATTTCTCTTAGCTTGATTACGTATTTTAAGTATGATTTTAAGTTTTCTCATTTCTTTTAAAAACAAATATTATGTTAATGGTACTGTTTTCTGACTTTCGGGGGCACATTTTCTTTTGCTACATATTAAGAGAGATGGTTGTGACACGCGCATGCGTACGCAACCACATAGATTGTATGTGGAGGGAATTATTTGGAGCTACGCGAATTGACCTTTGATTGCGCAAGTCACAACGATCTCTCAATGTGCTTTGTTTTGCACTAATCTCTGTTTATAAACCAATGCTAGCCTTAAAAGGGAACCAATTGCCAACTAATAAAATGCATTTCATACATTACTTTTAGATTTATAGACATTAACAAAAATAAGAATATTTTTTAAATTTAAAAACAAACACCAAAACAAGAACATAAAAGACTTTCAAACAGTTAGTGAATATACATGTATACATACATGTAATAATAAAAATAATAATAGGCATTTCTATAGTGTCGTCTATCTAGAAATTCTATTCCGAGGCGCATTTATTATTACCCCGGCTTTAGCCTAGCTGCCGTATACAGCGCTCCAGCATTTCAAGGAATCAATTCCTGCCAGGTACCCATTTACATCAACTGGGTTGAGTGTGGCAAATGTAGATCAATGTCTTGCCAAAGGACATTAGTGCCGCGGCGAGAAAAACACATTTTTGGTGATTTGTCTCATTTGTTATCATCTTCAAAGTGTTTCATATTCAGGTTATCCTTACCTCGGCTAACATTTCAAAGAGTTCATCAGCCATCTCGTCAGTCATCTCCGTACTCTCCACCTCCATGATGGTCTCCCAGTTGATGGGTGCCATGGCGATGGATCAGTCCACTCTCCCACGGGTAACTAACAGAGCTCCTACGGATGTGCAAGCAGATACAGAATAATCATCAAAGTGTGATTTAAAGAGAAGGTTGAGTTCTGGGAAGAGGTGAAAAATAATTTGTGAGCATTATCATTCTTATTATGCAAGTGTGGAAGAACATCAGATAAGACATGTTCCTTGAAAAGCATGGCTCTTCAAATGCCTTCATATTCTAAATATGTCATGTAACATCGTAAAACTCGGGGTAGGATTTTTACGCCACGTGTTCGTGTAGTCCCATATACATCTTTCTGTGTACAGTGTTTGTAACTTTACCAAGACTTGGCCAAATTTCTTATCATTTTGATGATTCCCGAACCTTGCAATACACACAAATTATGCTAGATGATCAACCTTTTCTGGTCGATTCCACACCGTTTCTTCCACAATGCAATCGCATGATCAGAACTCAACTTCATTTCTAAGGCTCCTTCACATATGCTGGGTAAACCCAGTTTTTTTAAAACATGTTAGTGCGTGGCCTCAGCATGAAACAGAGGTCCTACGGGCATCTAAATCTTATTACAATATACTTTAAAATTGAGATTATTGATGATTGTCAAATGTTATGTTAAAATGTATTTATATATTTATTTACATGAATGCACTTTCAAATGTCTGAAAAAGAAATTTTATGTATTTTTTACATGGCAATAAATTATCTGAATCTTGATTTCTTACGAAGCCAAATTGTTGTAGTCTAGATCTATGTGTGTTATATGATAGGAACTGTGAAGCGCATATACTTGACGTCATCACAAAAGAATATAGAAACATGCTATGGTTTACCGCTGCAAAACGCAATTGCATACCGTACCTAGCTATAGATCTAGATCTACTAATAATAATATGGCGGGGTAGGCCTACTGACTCAATTCTAAAATGTTCTAGAAGCAACAAACACTCTCTCTTAAACGATAACGTTCTTATTGGTCATCTATATATCCCTCTTGAGGATCAGGACCAGGATCAGAACAGAATCAGAATCTCAGCGGAACAACCGTCGATATTAGAGACTGAAACTTTCGGTCATACTAGGCTAGCGTGCGCACACTAGCCAAATCTAACGTACCGTAGTTCATTCCTAGGCCACCAGTTCAGGCGCAGCGCGCAGGGTGGCTTCGATGGAGCTCAATTCCAGCTCCAAATTACGAGTAGACCTCTAAACAGAGATTTCAACAGAGAAAAGGGCATTAGCAGAGATATAAAAGCTAATGGAATTTATGAGTATATTAGAAAGACCTAGGTTCTAAGAAGTACATTACCTGCTGAAAAGCTAGGAGTCTTCTAACACTTGTTGTTTTAACGATTCTAGTTTGGATCCGAAGGTTTGAATCGGCATCAACGGAATGTTGACGAAAGAGCCATTTTTCATTCAGCGTCCATCACAACGAATATCGACGCAGATGGCAGCAGACTGATTGCGAATGTTTTCGATTTATTGGCTCTCCCGAATTAAAAAAAAAAAAAAGACACCCCTCCCCCCCCCCCCTCCCCACCCCACTTCCTGCAGTTGAATATGGGCATCGTAATCGAGGTTGAGAATGGGTTGGGCACTGAAGAAAACATTTTATTGTACATTTGGTGCATATGAGGTTCTATGACCACATGCACTCCCCCCCTTTCTCTTTCTACCCCCCCCCCTCTCTCTCTCTCTCTCTCTCTCTCTCTCTCTCTCTCTCTCTCTCTCTATCTCTGTCTCTGTCTCTATCACCCCCTCCCCCGCAGTAGGCTCTTATGCTTATAAATAGATTATCATTCAAGTTTTATAGGTTAAAATCGAAACTGCTAAACATCTCATACGTTATAAAAGCTTTCCCAAAGCTAGCAATTTTATTTTCGACTTCCTGCTATAAAATAAGGAATACCAAATGCATCGATAAAAGATGGGCAGCTCTAATGTGCTATTCTTATTATTTTGTTTGAGCTTATCGCCACTTGAAGGTAAGCCTACAACTAATTTGAAAGAGAATATTTACTTTTAATTGTTTAAATGTGATGTAATTTGTATTTTTTTTTTTACTATAATGATATCATGTTTATTGGTTATGTTAGTCTTTACATTAGTAGTTTTAATCGCTGAGAAACAATAGTGAAGGCCTATTAAGTGAAAATATTTTAAATGTTTGTAGTACTTCTATCCTTTTATTGTTGTTGCTATTTGAGTCATTAACACCATGATTATCATTTTACGAATTATTGTTTGATATATATTGCGTTTAAAAAGTTTGTTGCAATAAGAAATACATTCGGGGAAAATACTTTTGTCAGACGTTTGCAATCCATCAGAAACTGAATCTTGCATGTCAACTTTCGATCTAATTAGTTTAATTTCATTGCTCTCTCTCTTTTATATCTTCATATTGCTTTTTAACGAATGATTTATCTTTTAAATATCATATGTTGCTTGGTTTTGTCAGTTTTTTTTTATGCACGAAAGATATTATATCATTACACATTTTTAACGCTTTATTATACTGCAGGCCTAATATGAGCTAGTTTTGAATGATAAGTCGTAACGATGGTTTCTCTAAAGCCCCACTTGTAGCTTCTTGCTCCCTCTATATAGAAAACTTCCCCAATCGGTGCCTATTGCTCCCCATGATCCTCTGTTTCTTATGTTATTTGAGAGCTGAGTTGATGAGATAGCCACCTGTCAGTGACCTCACAGTGTGGTCTAATCCCTCCTAGCCACACTAGTGGTGATAAGCTTTAAAGGAAAAGATTAACCTTCGACCATGCAGGGCCTTTGCTTTTTATTGCTTTTCCTCGATAGGTATATAGGGCCTACGTTAGAGCAGCTCAGTTGAAGTGTTTAAAGCTTATCAGTACTAGTTTACAGGAGGGATTACACCGCCCTGCAAGGTCACTAGACAGGTGGTTATCTCATCAACTCAGCTCTCAATTAACATAAGAAAAAGAGGATCATGGGGACCAATGGTCACCGATTAGGCATTGTTTAATATAGAGAGGGCGCAAGTAGATACAAGTAGTGCAGTGGGCCTTTAAAGAGAAGATTGAGTTTCGATCGGGGGAGAGGTGAAAAAGAATCTGCGAGCTTTTTCGTTGTTATTATGCAAGTTTGGAAGAGAATAAATGTTTCCTGAAAAGCACGACTCTTCAAAATAATTCATGTTCTAAAAATGACTTGTACCAGCTTTAAAATGTGGGCCTCATGTTTATGCCGCATGTCTGTGTAGTCTCATATACATCTTTCTGTCTACAATGCTGGTTACTTTTACCAAGACTGGCAGGGCCAATTTCTTATCATTTTGATGATTCCAGAACCTTGCAGTATATACACACCAAAGCTATATACATGATCAACTTTTTCTGATCGATTCCACACCGTTTCTTTCACAATGCAATCGCATGACCAGAACTCAACTTTATCTTTAACATTAATCTTAAAACATATCTGTTCAATTCAGCCTATAATTAATATTGTTCTTTAATGTTCGTATGTTCTACCTTACTTTCGTTCCTTTGTTTGTAATGCAGATACTTTTAAATGATCTCGTTTTCTTACTTTTGTCTTTTCTGTCTCACAAGTGCATGCGCCTTAATTGCTTTATAATGGATTCGGCGCCTGACAAAATAATCTCAATATTATCATTTTGCACTCTACATCCTCGTTAGTATGCACGTCGGGATAGATTTACTTGTTTTTTAAAATATCTATTAGTTTGAATATTTCACCACTCACTCTCTCTCTCTCTCTCTCTCTCTCTCTCTCTCTCTCTCTCTTCTCTCTCTCACTGACACGAGTCTACCGCACACGGTCGTCAATATACTCCACGTCACTTACCACACCATTCTCTTAATGTGTTAAAAACAAAACTCATGTTTAATTGATTTCAAATTGATAAATATTTCTAAAATGTTAATTATCTCGTTTATTATCTAATTTGACTATGTATTGTATCTGTACAACTGTTTATTTTGTGTCTATTTTATGTTACGGTCTGCTTTGGCAAATCTAATGCCATCATGGGCCAATATGCAATAGTGTGATATATGTATATATTTGTATGATTATGATCTATTTGTACCACTGTCTATTTTGATTATGAAATAAATACTTACTATATTAACATTTACTATAGACAAAACTGCATAGCTGTTAAAGCACACGACGCCGGTGACAATTACTATTATCACCAGCCATTCTGCGCCCCGACAATAGCATGAATTGATGGTCATTGTTTTTGTCTGTATGTCATCATTGGGCTATTATGCTTTCGGTTCTTATTAATAATAATTATAACAATAGTTAGCTCGTATATAGCGCATTTAATTACCGAAGGTAATACCAATGCGCTTTACAAATTAATGTAGAAGACAATAGAAATAAAGACATATATAGAAATAATTACATTATAATTATAATCAAAACTTACAAGTAAGAAGGCATACATTATACATTAGAAAAATCGAAAGTAGCTTCTATTAAAGGTACTATGTCCCTTTTGCAGCCAACCTCAAATTCTGTAGAACTTTGCAGGAATTATGAATATGTCATGTATGTCCTATCAGTGAAATTTAAACGTTAGTAGTGTCCTCATGTTCAAATTATGCAAGGAAACCCGTTTACTTGCTAAACTTCACTGTCAGACACTATTGAGTGACTGACTGGCTTTTTTCTTCTTTGGTATAACATAAGTAAAAAGAGTTGTAAAGGATGCATGAGCATTTGTCTACATCAATAACCCACTTCTTGTGATGGCCAAGATTAAACTGATTGAATCTTTGCGCAGCATAAAACGTATGACCATTCGGTACAATTGTCTGAAAATCAAGACTATTACTTTTGGGCTCTATAGCCCTAAAGTCGATTTGACAACTAATGGTCGTTATTTTCCCACTTGAAGACATTTTCAAGCCCCACCTTTTTTAGGGAATTTCTAAATTAGTATGATCTTTCAAATACAGTTGGAATTTAACTTTTTCATTTTTTTGGCCTGCAAATGGGACATAGTACCTTTAAAGGTAATACATGTAATATTTGAAAATTATTATAATGGTGAGGAAGGCCCAATACAACAATATAAATATGAATAGATAAATAAACATCAGCATTCAGTCAGTCACAAAGATGGTATGTGCTGCACCAAACCCTTTGGAACCAGTACAAAATTAAAAGGAAATGTTGAACAAATATGTCTTGAGTTCTTTCTGGAATATGTCTATGTTTGATTGAGCACGTACACTCAAAGAAAAAAGGGTGCAAAAAAGGGTGCAAAATAAGAGTTTGCACCCTTTACATAAAAATGAACCCTATTGAAGGAAAAGGGGTTCATAAAAGGGTGCAATATAAGATTTTGCACCCTTCCCACAAAATGAACCCTAACGACCCAAAAGGTGCAAAATAAAAGTTTGCATATTGCATGCATATTCATGATTACTTTCCACGTGTTCACATAAAAATACATTTATCATATGATTTGTTAAGCAAATTATGACAATGCACATCAATTTTTGTGATTTGTATTTTCCTTCGGCAATCATTAACCATAGATTAGTTTGTCTGATCATGTTACAGTTACATTCACGTTTTAGCAATATATATATTGATTATATGATTACTAACCAAGAAACATCATGCATGTTTAATATGTATTTGTGTACGAGCAAATGTCACGAGTATTCCTCGATGATGGGTGCAGAAGTGCACCTTTTACAGGTGTAGGATTGAACCCCTTAATGTGCTGCTATTGCATCGGTTTGCACCCCTAAAGTAGCAGGATTGAACCATTAAGGGAACTAACAAGTCTCCTAAAAGGTGCATTCTGGCACCCTCCTAAAGGGTGCAGGATTTAACCTCTAAAGGTGCTGCTATTGTTGCATCGGTTTGCACCCCTAAAGGTGCAGGATTGAACCATAAAGGGTACTAACATTTCCCCAAAAAGGTTCAATCTGGCACCCTTTTGAAGGGTGCAGGATTGCACCTTTAAAAAGGGTGCAGGATTTAACCCCTAAAGGTGCTGCTATTGTTGCATCGGTTTGAACCCCTAAAGGTGCACAGTTGCACCATTTTTTCTTAGTGTGTAGAGTGCTAGGAAGAGAGTTCCAAGGGTTGGTGCAGCACATTCAAACGACCTGTCACCGAAAGATTTGGTTCTGCTTCTATTTACTACTAGCAGATTTTGTTTGTTATCTAATTCGTAGACGAGAATCGTCAAACTACAGGCTACTATCCATTTCAGGTGTGGATCCAAGGGGGGGGGGTGCCTCTTACTACTCCCCCCCCCCCGCTTATTCACCGGCTGGCTGAGTCGGCGCAAAATATTTCCAAATCTTGCGATTTTCATTTTCGACTTCCTGCTATAAACAAATTATGATCTACATGTATTTGTACCACTGCTCAATTTTATTATGAAATAAATACTTATTATATTAAAA